GAAAATTCTGTTTACAATGTGTCTCAGGCTTAGGGGTGAATCACTCAAAGTCCCTAAGCAATGCTCTCCTCGCCGTCGCTGCTGATCTGCGCAGTTGCGCGCCTCTTGCGGGCCGAGAGTATAAAAATCAGCGACATAATCTCTCTGCCAAAACCTCAATGCATATAAAACTCCTATGTAGGATGAACTGAGGCCATCTCCATCTCTCAAACTCTTCTCAGCCACTTTTCACATCCACCTCATGTTGGCGCACACGGCGAAGAAAAAACGAAGAATCTGCAAGTTAATGTGACCAAAGAGGAAAAATTGAATAAAGTAGCAAAGTCAAAACACGATAAGTTTCATCGTGAATGGGGCGTTGCTGGGGCGAAAAATGACGTTGGGCTTTTGTTGGCCGTCAAACAAAGAGGAGAAAACTCATTATCCTCCGCCCAAATTGCCTCGCCAAGGCGCGAAAGGAGTGCGCCGCGATAAGAAGCATCACCCAGAAGTCCATCCGCGGAATGAAGTGTGCAAATTGCAAATTATTGCGCTGCGCGGTCATTAAGGTGATGCCGAAACGGGGGCGGCAGATTGAAATCTATGCTCGATGGGGCGAAACTACGTCAGCCGGAGATCCCTTCGGTGTGGATCACAAGTGATGCCCTTTTTTGTGTGCACACCGGCCAGATTGAAAGCACTTAAGAAATTCTTTCGCTTGCAACACTCTTTGTCTTCAATTCCGCACGCGGTGGTTCGTTGCCGAAATTTATGGTGCCTCTTATGAGCCACTCGACGATGGATTCTTATGCAACGACGTGCAAAAAGGCGCCGCTCTTGTGTGGTCCACCAATCTTTGGATTTTCTCATAATGTGACTTTACGGTTTAGGGTTCATCATCATGCCATTGCAGAGATAAACTTTCCTTGTCAGCCATCTCGCGCAGTCCGCCTTGATGGACTCTCCGCCCTCGATGGGCCAATAAATACCTCACCTTTCGCGACTTCTGGTATTTCGGCGCGAGTGAAAGCCATGACAGTTGAAACTTTCCTGCACTTTTCGGGCCCACACTCGAACCCTCTTCCGCTCAGCCCAGAATTAGTTGCACGCGGAAAAGTGCAACTAAATCATGTTGATTGGATTTTTTTATGCGACCACTCGAAAAATCGCAATCATCAGCCAAAGAGAAACTGTATAAGATTGAATTTTGATAAAATCTGACAATATCAAAGACTCCTCAGCGCCAATTTACCTGCAAATCTTGGCCAATTACTCTGGGGCGCAGCTGATTTTCATGTGATTCCCGGATGACATTTTGCGGTCAGATTGACTCTCACATCTGAGATCATCTGAATTCTGCATACAAGAACAAGATGCGCGTGTGCTTTCCTCACTCGCTTTTCCACCTTTTTATCTCACCCAGCCTATTGCACAACAGCTCTGCACCACGCAGTTTCCCAATAGTTTATGATCATTGCCGAGGGAAAAAGATATGTGCGATGATGAATAGCAACATTGTGGATACATTTTGGGATGACATGGAAGATGAAGGTATAAAAGAGGAACATTTTACTACCAAAAATTAGCCACAAAATTAATTTATGACGAATTCAGAGTGTTTTATGACTTTATGATATATATTTTACAGTAATGTCTTCTTGCATTTTCTTTACATAATAAGACAGATATCATTTTTATTGGTCTGTGGGGGAAAAGCCTCCGTGAGGACAATGAGAAGCTGATACTCATTTTAAGCCAGTTGAGCGTAACTTTGTGTAAAGTGTGTCTGAAAACGCTCAAACGCTTGACAGAGTGATGCATCGAGGGACAAATCCTACGACAGTCACACGTACTTCCCACTGACAAATGAGACAAAACATAGGGATACGTCATAAGAAAGACAGATAATTATTCCACGACTCGCGTAATCGGAATCATTGAGCATTTAAATGTAAATCAAGCTGAAAACTGACTGCGAAGTTGTTAATTTGGCAAGTGCAGAAATATTTTAATTGCGAAACTCTGCGCGATACAATGTTTCTGGCCGCATGGATTGACTCTAATGAGAAGCGACAGGAGGCGAGGGGCTTCAGACAAGCCGGGAGGGAAGATCAAAAGGATTTTTTGGCTCATTTTGACCTCTGAGTTAATTACACTTTGTATTCTGTGCTCTCGTTTTTTTCTGCCCCTCTCTCGCGTCCCCTCGTGGGCAAAGGCACCATCTGCAGAACTCTGACTTGTGGCCATGCCCCACACATTTGCCATGGAGATCATTTGGAGGAGAGCAGAAAAAAAGACAAGAGACGCCCAGCAGTCACAAGGTAGATCAAGTTGCATTGCGGCCCTCATTAATTTTCCCATCCCGAAGAAAGCCCTGCGGAAGAAATCGGGCTCCATGGCGGAATGGGTGGCGTCTTGTGGCGCACTTAGACTTATTGATGATCGGTGTGAAATAGTTCAGTCGCGGATTTGCGCGGCTCGATTAACCCTGGGCTCAGAAGCACTTTGTCCACGCACTTTGCCAATTGATCATTCCCGGCCATGGGCGAGGAGGATCCGTCTCTCCGCCCCATTTGCCCAAGTGCATGAACTCTTCTGAGATCTAATAAACACTTTTTCATCTGAAACTGACACAAATTGAGGAAATAAATCAGAAATAGCCCATTTTTATGGCCATATAAGGAGAAACATGGTGTTAAAACTTGACTACACTTTTAGCAGAGCAATTTCAATAATAATGTTCAGTCCGCAGCACTCTCGAAGATGACACGGGGAAGCGCGCCGCGTGCGTGAGAGCGGGAAGGAGTGATCGCGGCGGAGCTTTCATAAAACGGTAAAATGTCTTGCTGAGATATGATGACGGAGGAATGTGGTGAGGAAGACAAAAAGCCCCGATTATGTGCTTTTTATTGTCATCGATTTGTCGCATCGATCAGGAATGAAAATGCCGAATGGCGATGGTGAAAAAAACGAGAGCCATTTAATTTGATTTGGTATTTAAATTCTAAACCGCTCTGGACCATCATTAATTATTTATTTAATTCACCATCAAACACACTGCCAGGCAGATCGCGATGTGCAGAGCAGCGGAGGAAGAGAACTGAGATAATGAGTGTCCCATTGATGGAATGGTGTGCCTGATAACAGTGCCAAAGCGTCAATTCTTCAGGCACAAGAGAGACGCCGAATGTCCGCCAACTTGGACAATTTAATCACCTCCGGAATGAGATACAGATTCTGATTTTATTAGGATGGACAGAAAATAATCTCTAATTAAATTATGGGGAAATAAAATTTTTAATACTCTCTTGGAAGTCCCACCAAAAGCTCTACTATATATTGTTTAATTAAAATTCTGCAATAAATGTCTCCAAAAGGCATCGTCAGACCAAAATTTCAGATGAAAAGAGTCCAAACAAAGTGTGATAATCGGCCTTATTAGTTGTGGACAGACTTTTTTTCTCGGCTTCTTCGGAGAAAAAGACGGTGAAAAAGATGTTTTGGCATTTAATTGGCAGGAAACCCAACACGCGAGTATCATCTAATTGTGACCATAATGAGATGTATCTGGGCAGAGGAGATTTTCTTCGCATCTATACAAATTAATCGATCAGCGCCGAAATTAGCTTATCGGTAAATTACTGTGACTTTTCTTCGCGCACACAAATTGTAATTTGGCAAATTTTGCATTATTAACCTGGAACTTGTTCTGCGCGCCCAGAGAGCGAAGCCATCAGCCACGGACATGATCACTCCATTGAATCCCAATTACACCAAACTAGTCCGCCGGAGAGACACTCTGCAGCACACGTTCCAGTCGCGGCCATCAGGAACAGCAATGTTGATGGGCGGCAGTTTGCGAGTAATGCTTCTGCAATTATGCCGTCCGTCGTCGTTATCGGGATGCAATAAGTTTGAACAACAGCAATAACAAGGGGTGAAGAGCTTGTAATTGAATGTCTAAAACTGAAAATAATCTCCATATTCTTGCTAATGTTTAAAGAATTATGTTTTTGGAACGACTTTTAACGGGAAAATGCGTGGATTTTATGAAATTCAACGTTTCTTTTTCTAATGAAATTTTCAACAGTAAGATTTAGAAGGACTTTTATTAAACTTGAAACCCGAATTGTAAGATATGAGCAAGTCTCTTGGTAAAAACGTGATGTAAATCGGTTCGGAAAAAGCATAGAAACAGAACTCGACTTCAGCAATTAATAAAAATTAAATCTCTGAATCGTTATTCTCATGAAAATGTTGATAATTTGTTCTCTGAAGTTCAGATTCTAGAATTGCAAAATACTAGCGAGAATTCACGAGAAACAGAACAACGGAGAAAATTAAATCCAAGACAATAAAACGGACTTCAGTATTCCACTGAACTTGAAAAGCTGCTGAAAACCAGTTCACTTCACCCCTTGATTGTCTTATTCTAAACACAGTTTACTGCCTTCTGCCTGCATTACCAGAATCTCAGCTGCTTGCTCAGGTGATCTTCTCTCAATGCGACCTCTAATCATAAAATATCTCATCAAACATTTATCCCAGTGTTTATCTAGCTAATCCAATTGACCACCGGCTCAACTCCCACCCTCGTTTCTTGCCATCATCCTCCGCAGTTGGCTCGTTAAATTTGGTCACGTGCTGACCGCGATAATGGACGATCTTGTGCTGATACGTCGATTAAAGGCATCTCATTAAGATCGCCAAGACTGATCACCGGCCGCTTAAATGTCACCAAGTTGAGGAAATTGGCGTGGCAAAAATTGGACGAGTTTTGAGGAATCGAGATCACTTTTATGCGCGGCACCAACTCCTCCAAATTGACTCCAATATTGACTTGATTTACAACTAAATGTAATTACCGTCGCTGAAGTGATTTATCTCTGGCTGGGATCTCCTCAACAATTCCACCTTGTTTGCTGGGTGGAATTGTACGGTGCGCGGGACAAAAAAGACAATCGGCGATCTAAGAAAAACACGCCACTGCAGTGAGACGCCAAAAAGTCCGAAATTGCATTAAATTAATTATTAATTCCCTTACATGGCAGGAAATTATAACTCTTTCAATATTTCGTCTCTTGTCTCTCTCTCTCACTCTCTCACTCACATCGCACGAGATTCTTTCCGCGAAATGTTATACACACAATTAAGAGCGGATTACAATTTTTGCACTGATTTTAATACCAAATAAGTGTATGTAGGCCATCTTGACTTGCTCTTATTTTCCTCTTCTGCGCTCTGGGCAAAAAATTGTGGCAAAAAGAATTTGAGAGATAACGTTCTCGCTCCACCTGTGCGCGTTCCGGTTCCCAATCGGGCGAGAAGTGTGTCTCGGCTGGGCCAGTGGAGGCGCCTGGTCATACTGGACAGATGCCCGGATGAGACTGCACGGACTCGAGAGGACGTCGCGACCCCTTGAAGATGTGGTAGTTCGACTGAGAGCGGAACTTGGTGATGAAGTGGTCGAGATTGTTGAGCTGCAGATGCATCGGATTGGGAATTGGTTGCGGAGTCTCCGGAATGCCGCCTGGAGGAAAGGATTATCGGTTCATCAAAGGTATTCTCAGTGCTGTGACTCTACTCACTTATTGTCTGGTAGATCTCCGATGGGCTCTGGTAGAATTCCTCCATTGGAGCCGACATTGGCGATGGGAAGGGAGTGTCGACCGGGATGATCTCGTTGAATTTCGAATAATCCACTTCAAACACTCGACTCTCTTGGCTGAAATTCACAATCTCCTGGAAGCGATAGCCCCAGAGAATCTCAGTGTTCAGATAACTGGTTCTTGCCTGAGTGCTCTGTCCAGTTGACTCAATGGTTCCCTCAAGGAAGACCAGGATCTCGAACTGATCTTGCATAATGTCGAAGGGAGAAAGATTGAACAGTGGAGAGTCAGCGTTAATTTTGTGTGTGACGATCACTGGCCAGATCAGGAAGAGATTTGAGTCACAATCGTCCATCTTCAGCTCGAGTTCCGTGTGGTATTGCTTGATTCTTTCGCCCTCAGGAGTGACTCTCGTGTGGATCAGCTGCGCTCTGATATTCGCTCCAATTATGTGGCTCTTCCTCATGTCTCCCACTCTAAACATCAGACACAGCTCTCCATCTCGCTGGCTGATTAGCGCACTCCGGGAGAACAGGAGCGTCTGACAGCGACTCTTCGGTCGCGTGAGCTTTGCGAACACAATTCCCGCCATGAAAGCCTGCACAAGAACTCCACAAATCGCTTGCATGCACGTGACAAAGACAGCTTCTGGGCATTCTTCCGTCGTCGCGCGAACACCATAACCGATCGTGTGCTGGGATTCCAGCGAGAAGAGGAAGCAGGAAGTGAAGGAGTAGATATTGAGGATGCAAGGTCTCCAGCCATTCGCCTCCTGCAGCGGCGGCAGGTGCATTTCATCGAGATCGCCGTGAGTGAGGGAAATGAGCCAGAACATGAAGGCAAAGAACAGCCACGAAAGCAGGAAGCTGAGCGCGAAGATAAGCAGAACGAGGCGCCACTGCAAATCCACGAGCGTGGTGAAGATGTCCTGCAGGAATTTCAGCTGGTGGTGACTGAGATTCTCCTGCAAGACATTGCAGTCGCCGGACTTGAGGATTGCTCTGGGTCTCTGGCGACGAATGGCCACTGAAGGACGATGTCCTTTGCTGGCGCTGAGAAGCCGCTCCTCCTGATTGGACTTATCACTCCTGGCACTTGGACTCATCTTCACGAGCGCGCAAAGAGACTGACGCGCTGACGCAGAGAGCTGATGGTGGTAGGAATCTGCCACTGAGTGGGATTAGCGAATAATCTCGGGGATGTTTTATCACCTTATCGCGATGTGTGCGCGACAGACTAATTTACAGCCGCCGTGGCAGCCTCGGCAGAGCCCAGCGAGGAGACAGTGACCAGATTGAGTGTGTTTATTGAAGTCATGATCACAAGATAGTCAAGAGAGATGCTCATGGCGTTCGCCCTACTCTGGATGCGATCGTATGGAATCTGTATCGAAGTGGCGCGTCCTGGGCAGATGACTGTGCGACTGAGAGCGTGCTTGCGGCAGCTGCCGAAGATTCTCCATCAGCAGCGGCAGCCGCGGCTTTTGTGACAATATCGGTGATGCTCCGCCAATGCCGCAATGGAATTCTGCGGAGGAGAAAGCAAAAAGTTACTAATGTATCACTCATGATCACTGTGTATGACAGCGTAAAGCAAAAAAACACACTGAGAGACAACATACAAGATGATTGAGAGAGAGATTCGCGTGTGGAAAAGCATCTTGAAGACTGTTCACGTGCTCTAAGCGTCCGTCTGATCTGTTGGGTGTCCCAAATGAAAGCGTGGCCCATCCTCTGTGATAAAAGAGCAAATTTACGGACACGGAGGCACAAAAAGCTCCACGTGCTCACCTTTCGTCGCGCTGCCAATGTCTTCCTGGTACTTGCAGAACTCCGAGAGTTCCTTGGCAGAGCACAGCGGCGTGTCCACCTGGACTGTTTCATTGAACCGCCTGTAGTCCACCTCGTAGCTCTGTCGCTCCTTGTTGTACGACACCACAGACTCGAAGCGGTGTCCCCAGAGGATCTCAGTATTCAGATAGCTGGATCGCGTCTGAGTGCTCTGGCCCGTAGACTCGACAGTGCCTTCCAGAATCACGACGATCTCGAAGCGCTCCTGCAGCATATCCGACGCGGACATCGTGTAGAAAGGCGACTCCTCGTCGATCTTGTGCACAACAATCATTGGCCAGATGAAGAACAGATCCGAGGCGCATCCGTCCGTGCCCACAGCCAGTTCTGTCTGGAATTGCTGGAAGAATTCGCCCTCCTTCGTGGTGCGACACTTAATCAACTGCGCTCTGATATTCGCGCCAATGATGTGACTCTTCCTCATGTCTCCCACCCTGAACATCAGACACAGCTCTCCATCTCGCTGACAAATGACGGCGTTCTTGGAGAAGAGCAGAGTCTGGGATCTGTGCTTCGGTCTAGTCATCTTGGCGAAGACAATTCCCACCATGAACGCCTGTGTCATTACGCCATAAATCGACTGCATGCACATCATGAAGATCGCCTCTGGACACTCTTCAGTGGTCGTCCGGAAGCCATAGCCGATTGTGTGCTGAGTCTCAATCGAGAAGAGGAAGCACGAGGCGAAGGAGAAGATGTTGTACACGCACGGAGTCCAATTGTTCTCCTCTGGAAAAGTCGGAGAAATTTTATTTAGGTGATAAGAGATAAGCTCGAGATAAAGCTGAGCATTTTGCAAATACCCTAATTTTACGAGGATGTTGTCACATTCACCGACTTTCCATTTTAATACTTGTTTTGATATTAGCTAAATAAGGTTGGCGTGACGTCGTGACTGTGCGAAATTACACACATTATTTCAAGCGTGCATGCAATTCCACATAGAATTGCTTTACGAATATTCTAAGCGTTCTTTCTATAGAAGTTCTAGATTCTGAATCAGAAAAATTGGGTAAATTTGAATGATTGTGCCAAGAGATCGCAGAAGAGTAATTACGACTGCGAACAGTCAGAAATGTGCTGCATGGGTCAGTTGTAGTAGATTAGCTAATTCCCCGAAAGTTTATCAGCGCGCCTTATCATTCTCACCTTGGTTTGGTGGCAAGTGTGACGCTTCCAAGTCTCCGTGTGTGAAGCAGATGAGCCACCAGATCACGGCGAAGCCCAGCCACGAGAGGATGAAGCTGAGCGCGAAGATCAGCAGAGTCCATCGCCACTGCGTGTCGACGAGCGTAGTGAAGATATCCTGCAGGAATCTCAGCTTCCTCCTGCTCAGCTTCGACTGAATCACATTCACCTCGCCGTGCTTAAACACTGCTCGCCTGCGGAAGCGCCTCGTGGTCCCTGGGCGGAAATTGCGGCTTCTGCAGCAGGAAGAGAGATCACACCGTCAGTGACACTGTTCCTTAACCCACACCGTGACTCACTCATTGTCGAGGAGCTCGGTCACATTGCTCAAATTGAGTCGCATCGTGGCCCACGATCGACTTTTCGCACAAGACTGCGGAAGTTTCGTGAGGGAAACACCCACCAGAGCCACAAGAGTTGCTTGAGAGTGTGTGCGGTGCAATTTTGGGGAAGACTTTGGACAGAGCATTTCGGGTGGGACTTTCAGGGACTGGAAACTGCAATTTTCCAGAGATTCGATGGTCATTCAGTGACACTTTGGGAGTGAATGAATCGTGAGAAGACTTCAGGGCCTCTCAATCCCCAAATAAGATCCCCCTCAGCGTGTGTGTGCTCAGGTGTGATAAGACTTTCGCGGTCGTGGTGATAAGGTAAACACACACACTCGAAGATTCGCCTTCAAGTTACATTGTCACTGGACAGAAATAGTCTTGTTTTTCGATCACTCGTCAATGGTAGAGACACACATCTTGCGCAAAGCTGGGAGGTGAGAAATGCAAGATGAAAGATGCAGATTAGCGCACACTGAATGCTTCCGGAAGTCTGTGCAACAGCGCGACTGCATTGTGTGTGGGTAGGAAATGCAAATGAGCAGCAACGAGTCTCAATACCAAGGTTGAAGTAATTCTGGGCTGTGTGCAGCAATTGAGATACCTTCTGATGGATCCATTTGGGGTCCTGCAAGGGGTGTTGGGCGTGCCTGGCGACAGGGAGCAGGGCGATGGCGTGAGATCGCTCTGCGTGGAGATGACGATGTGCGGCAGATGGTGATCCCAGGGTGAGGAGAGGAGCGACTGATCGCTCACGGAGTCCGTCTTCATCACTGAGATTTCGGCAGGTCACTGATAATCTCCTGATAATGCGGACAAGCAATTGCTACCCACTTGATAGCCGGCGCTGTGACTTCGTCGATGGCTCGACACAGACTGATTGGCAGGTGTTCGACGCTGGGCGCACAGGAGTTGATCTCTCTCCGCGCTCGGTGATCTTGTGATCCCACACAGAGAGTGTCGCTGGCAAACAACAAGGTGTTAATTGCTTATAATGTGCTATTGAGACCATCGCGGGAGCAAACTGCGAATCAACCAGACAAACACGGGCATTTATTATCCGTTCTCACAAGTTCAGGAACTCGTCGATTTCCTCAGCGGAACATAGGGGAGTTTCCACCTCGAAGGTCTCATTGAAGCGGGAATAGTCGACGTCGTAGCACTGGAATTCGCGATTGTAGAAGAGAATGGAGTCGAATCTGTGACCCCAGAGGATTTCGCTGTTCAGAAAGCTCGTGCGGGTTTGAATGGTGAGTCCCGTGGATTCAATCGTGGCCTCGATGATGATCACGATCTCGAAGCGATCGCGCATGAGTGTTCCCGGGGTGAGGCTGTAGAGTGGCGAAGAGGAGTCAATGCGATGGAACAGCACAGCTGGCCACATGAGAAAGATGCCAGTGGAAGAGGATTCGTCAATCTGGAGCTTCAGCTCATCCTGGAACTCCTCCAACTTCTCACCCTCGGCTGAGATTCGTGAGCGCAAGAGAACAGCCCTGATGCTGACGTTGGTGATGCGACTCTTTCGGATGTCCGCCATGCGCAGCATGAGGCAGAGATTGCCCTCTCTCTGGCTGATCACGGCGAACTTGGAGAAGAGGAAGATCTGGGAACGATTGCCCTTGTGAGCCATCTTTGCGAACGCCACGCCGACCATGAAGGCTTGCGTTATGACCCCGAAGATCGATTGCAAACACATGAGGAAGATCGCTTCGGGACACTCTTCAGTGGTCGTCCTCACGCCGTAACCAATCGTGGTCTGGGTCTCGATGGAGAACAGGAAACACGAGCGGAAGTCGTACAAGTTGTAGACACAGGGAGTCCACTTGAACTGCTCTGATTCGGGGATGAAGAACGCATCGTTAGGCCGTCGGATTGAGAGTGAAGTGATTTGGAGGGCATACCTTGCTTATCGGGAAGGTGAAAGGGCTCAAAGTCACCGTGAGTGTGGCAGATCAACCACCACAGCAGAGCGAATGCCATCCAAGAGGCGATGAAGCTCATGGAGAAGATCAGCAGAGTCCATCTCCACTTCGACTCGACAAGTGTGGTGAACATATCGCCCAGGAAGAAGGTGAAATTCCTCCTGCGGACGTGCGAAATGATGACATTGCAGGTCCCATTCTTGAGCACGCACCTCTTCTTGTGGGACTTGAAGTCCCCCAGGCGAAAGTGGCACCTGCAAAGGCGTTGCGTAATCCACAATCCGGAGCACACTGGCCATTACTCACCGGCGCAGAACTGTCCCGTTGGGCGTTCGCAGGGTGGAGTAAACGTGACCACCGGGTGACGCAGAGGTCTCATTGTTAATCGAGACGTTCTTCTTGGACTTGGCCTCGCGTGGCAGCAAATCCCGATCGTCACACCTCAAGTCACCCGCTGCTTCGGTAGAAGTCATCGCGGACCACTGCTGCGGCAGATGCGAAACGCGCGCGAGGCCCCCGAAAATCTCCCACATTATTTGTCGCGCGCATTAGCGCCAATCGCCCCCCATCGAAGCATGAGGTGTGAAATGGTCTCTGGGTGATTTACTCACTTTTGGCTGCCGCAGCGCCCGAGGCGGCTGAGTCCGCTGGCGTGCGTCGGCACGATGGTGAGCGGGAGGAGCGACGGATTGCTGATGACCGTCTCCAGGGAGTCTGGCTCCTCCTCGATCACCCCCACGGGCGCCGAGAAGTTCCGCTTCGGCGGCTTCCGCTCCACTTTGTCCACCCTTGGCCTCTGATCCTCATGGTTGAACCTCAGCGAGTCCACGAACAACTTCACCTCCATCGCGTGCCACACAGATCTCACTTGACCCGCAGTTCGCGGCAATTAATTAACTGCACCAATTAATGTGTCCAAATATTTCGCAATTTTATTCTCTTACATAAGGCTCTATTCTTAAAATGGTAAGAAGTGAAAAAGGCAAAAAATATCTTTCTCTCTTACGCACTAAATCTACGGTATAATGTTAAACTCTTCACATACGTTTCTCTCTCTGTTCTCTAACACCTTCTCTTCCTATGGAATAGATACATACATATATCAATTTAGGTATAACTTCCTCTCTAGCACTGTCTTCGACACCTTCTTGAGATTCCTCATTGCGTGCGAGTATATGAAATTGGCTAGCAAATCCCTATCGTAGTAAATTCTTTCAGATTGAATCACATTAATTGTTCTTAGAGAGAAAAGTGTATAAAGCACTAACGTTTCTCTCGCGAAGGAAATTCACACTGAGTCACCACCTGGCTGGAAAATTGGCTTTAATCTTACACCTGCGGAGAGAGAGAATGACCTTTTAGCGATCGCCGCGATGCTCCAGCCTTTGCGACCACTGAGCGACTGGAGTGAGCACTCTAATAGACCCCAATCATGAGCCTCAATAGGACAAGTCTAATTTTTTTATTACACCAAATCCAGATGCGCGCAACCTTTGAGCTTCACCGCGGAAAATCGCAAGCTCAGGCATTAACTGGTAGCCTCGTACCAGTTTGAGGATGATCTCAATCGTGCGAGTGAATCGCGTTCCTCCCGAAAAGCTCTCCCGCCGCGCGCGCAATATCTCAAGGAGTGACAAATTGCCATCAATTAGATGGCATGATTTTCAGCATGTCTCATGAATTGCTAATCCCTGGTCACGACCAGGCATTTTTGCATTCCACAATCTTCTGAATTGCGCTGCATGGGAAGTATAAATTATCCAAATTGTCACCAACGAGTAACCCAATTTTGACCGTGTGTGTGCGTGTGGCGTCACTGTCCATTGATGAGCCACACATGAATGAAAGGGAAGAGAGCAAAATTCACCTAGACCTTGATTCACATCTCCGCTGACGCGGAAAAAATTAATTATTAATTAGTGCAGTAATTCACTGTGCGACAGTCGCACAATTGCACGTTTCATTCTGCGTGCTCAGAATTCTCCCGCCAATTCTATTCCAATTCACTTGCGCTTGGATTATTTAATTTCATAAGGCCTGAAGCTGGATTTGCTTAACTATATTTGTATAGGGCAGAGCGGGGCACATAGATGAGAAGTTGTGAAAATCCAGACCGATAATTATGCGTTGAAATTACATAATTGTTCTAAAAGCTCATTAATTATTGCTATTATTGAGCAGATAAGATAATTGTGACATTAAATATTATTACTCTTGAAAATTTAATTAATTAATTGTAGCTGTTATTTGAATAGTGAGTTCAAATCTAGGCCAAAACACACTTTTTCTCTTATATCGTTATAAACTGCCCGCAAAATGCAATCCTCCTTCGATTTTCAGGTGTATTTGTATAGCTTATTTTGGGGATTAGAGGCTCAACTCAACAGCGCTCGTGATTCCACAATTGAGGGTCACTCACCTAAGGTATTGAGCAAATATCAGCACATTGAATCCACAGGAACCGCCTCCTGCTTCACGGACAGTCGCCGTCCGGACGTTGTCTTCTTCTGCCCATTCATCTGATGGTGGTCCGTGATGGGGATTCCGTTTGGCACAGAGCACGAGCGTATCTGCAGGCGACCGGAGTCGCCGGACTCCTCACTGGCTGGATCCAGGGACGCTGCGGATGATACGCGCGGCAGGAGGCCCGACGAACAGAGGCGCTCTGCAGTCAAAGGGTGCGATTAGAATTCGTCCACGTGAATATCGATTTGCCATCGTGCCCTACCTAAGCCATTTGGTGTGTTCAACTCTGCACGCAGTTCATCGAGCTGCTTGGCACTGCACAGGGGTGTATCCACCTCGTAGGTGTTGTTGAAGAGCGTGTAATCCACCTGCGAATGGGAGAGGCATGAGTTATAGTTGCAATCGCCCTGAAATGGGGACATTCACCTCATACTCTCCCGTCTCCTTGCGGAAGGCGACCACGTGCTCGAAGCGATGCCCCCAGAGAATCTCCGACGGGAGGTAACTGCTCCTGGCCTGGGTGGTCATGCCCGTTGACTCCACCACACCCTCGAGCATCACGACGATTTCGAAGCGCTCCTTCAGCATATCCTGCGCCGACAGGGCGTACAGGGGACTGTGCTTGTCGATCCTGTGCACGATTGTCGTGGGCCAGATGAACATCAGGCGATCCTCGCGCCCATCAGCGCCCACCAGCATCTCTTGCTGGTAGAATGGAAGCACCTCGTTCTCTTTGGTCACCTATTTGAGAGACGGAGCGTTAGCGCCAGCAGTTATGCAGTCGCATCTCAAAGTTAAGAGAAGACAATTCAAATGGGCAACCGACTCACCTTCTTCCTGATAATCTGTGCCCTGACATGTGCCTCGATGATGTGGCTCTTTCTCATGTCGCCGACACGGAACATGAGACAGGGCACGCCGTCGCGATGGCAAATGACGGCATTTCGCGAGAAGAGAAGCGTCTGTGCACGTTTCTTGGGTCGGGACAGCTTGGCGAACACTATTCCAACCATAAATGCCTGTATGAAGACACCCATAATACTCTGCAGGCACATGATGAAGATGGCTTCGGGACACTCCTCGGTGATGTAGCGATTCCCATAGCCGATGGTGTGCTGCGTCTCCACGGAGAAGAGGAAGCAGCTGGTGAAGCCGTAGATTTCTGTGACACACGGATTCGTGGATTTGTTGTGAATGAGCTGCACATTCGGATCTTGCGGCTCCAGATGATCCAGGTCGCCGTGTGTGTATGCTATCAGCCACCAGATAATCCCGAAAGCCGTCCAAGACAGCAGAAAGCTCAGCGCAAACACCAGCAGCGTCCACCTCCACTGGGCATCCACGAGCGTGGTGAAAATATCCTGCAAACAGAGGAAATATTTACACAACAGAACTCACGAGGCTCCGAGTTGCTCCACTCCTTTCTCGCATAGATAAATTTCGGTATATATTCGCATGGTGAGATCATTAAAAAAGATCTGAGAGCTCTTATTGACGCTCTTTAGAATGCATTAGAAAAGTAATTTACACTGTTTGAATAGCAAAGTGGCAAATGTGATCTTCCTTAATATTTCGAAAGCAATTAACATTATGTTATTTGCCTTGTTATTTGCATTATTCACAGATCATTTCACCTGGGAAGGTCAAAGCTGTAATATTCATTTTACGGACTTTAGAATAAGAAGTGGGATTTTTGCGAACTTTGAGCCAATTTATTTGCCAATAGTCTTTTTGCGTCCGTTCTGGAAACTATTGAATATCGCTTGCAACTTTGTTAGGCGGGCTTTTCAAATGGGCGGAGCTTGCGAGAATTTTCCCTAAGCAGTTTATCTTGACATTTTCATACTCTGTGCTCCAGCATTTGGTGAATGTTCTGAGCCACTCACCTGCATGTATCGACGTCTACGCTTGGCCACATTCCCCTGGACGACATTGCAGTCCCCGTGCTTGAAAATTACACGTTTCCTCACGCGTCTCGATGAGAATCGTGTCTGACGATATCTGAAAATAGCATAATTTCCCTCATCACCTCGTTTCATAGTTTAAGTGTATCTAGAGAGAGCTAATTTGTACACGACTAATTACTATTATGGAATATTCTCTTGTTTTCCCATGATAAGTGACGCGACAATATGAATAGAGAATGTTATTTTTTTTTCTCTCAAAACGTCACACGATAAATATAGCCAAAGTGTTTCGCAATATATGGAGAAAAAGTTGAACGGTTAGGGAAAATTGATGATGGGGAAAATGAGTGGATTTTTGGTACAAGGCCGGGATGAAGTGACTTTGAAAAGTGGGCAAAATTGTTTACTTCCCGCGGATGTGGATGGATTTTCGCGTGAAAAAAGCGCCATCGTGAAATAATCAATTTCGCGCCGTAGTGCAGCATATGCTCGACGGTGGGTGGTTTGGGTGGGAATTGCGGAGGTGGTCATGAAGATCGGGCATCCATGGATCAAAACACACACCAAAATGGATCATTAAAATGTACATATTGAAACAATCACAAATAGATATTTACACTATTGTGTATTTCTGTCGTGCCTTCTCTCTTCATGGTTGCGGAGACTTTTCCCAGATGGACGACTTTTCACCCACACCTCCGCAGAATGAGGAAGAAAATGTTGCAAAAAGTCGCGCGGCGAGCATACGAAAAAAAAATTCCTATATTTAAATCTCAATGCGAAACGAATTGTCCTTGCCGGTTATCTGACCAGGGGTTTCGCATTCGGCGGTGTTTTTGTTTCGCCTTAGAGTCGTTGGGAGGGAAAATTCCTCTCGGAGTATTTAAATGCCTGTGCCACTTATTAAGCAGACAAATAACCGCCTCGGAGACTAGGACACACCATCCAATTTACATGAAATTGAGCCATCAGAGCGTCGCACGAAAGTGATCTTCGTCCTCTTTGGCGTGTGGATGTGGGCAAATGACAATGATTTCTTCAAGTGATACAAAGAGAGACAGATTGTCCAACACGAAATGTAATTTAGAGACTTTTTGCTCTAATTGTGCCTCGCTTTTTGCCATGTCACATTGCGGCTCATCTCGTGATCGTGGGATGAGATTTTAATAAGTGATTTCCTTCACGATGACACCAATAAATGGGCCATCAAGTGCGTCGTGGCGATTGTGCAAGAAGTGCGATGTGCAGTTCAGCAACCTCCGCCAAAAATGATTGATTCGCGATGAGCTCTTCAAGTTCTTTAATTGATGATCGCATGATCTTGAATCCACGACTCACTGCCGAAAGGCCGTGCCAAGAGAGACTCATCGCGGAACGCCGCGCCGGGAAAATGTGTCCAAATGCTTTGTCAATAACTTGCGAGAGTGGGTAAAAATGGCCAGATCTATTTTTAACACCTTTTCCTCCCGCCGCCCCGCCAATATTTTCCCATAATACATCAAGCAGGAGAGCACCTAAAACTGTTTAGACTTTTCACACGCAGTTTTCGGCATGTGCGTGGACGACAATTAGCTTGGAAACGCCTTCATTTTCACCGCAAGAGCGCGATTGCGGGGCAAATCTGGCCATGTGTGTGTGTGTGCGCGCTTATTTGACTGACTTGAGATGCTTTCAAATAAACAATTATATGCCAAAATATTCAATTTATATTGCTTGCGTTTGCCTTTCCATTGATCCTCGCCACCAAGATAAACAAATTATTCGACTCAGAGTCTCCACTTTGTGGTCTCTATTATGCACTCTCGCCGATTACCAGGGCAGTGGGAGCAAGTGAGAGCCACTGAACGCTGAAAAACGGGTCATTAAGTTGGCAATGAGATACTCAAGGAGCGATAATGACGAGAGTGTGATAAGAGCATTTCTTGTTTTGCCACTTTTCGCCAAAAATACATTTTTTTCTCTCTCCCCCTCTCTATTATCACATTGGAAATATATTCTAGAGTGAGATTTCCTCATCAGTGATCACAAGAGAGAGAGAACAATTAGCTGAATCTTTTGGGAGCCACTCAAGAGACAAAGAATCCAGAAAAACTCTGAAGGGCAAACAAATAATGATTTTGGGACGTTTTGCTTTGACTGCACATTAACTTGAGCACGCGACACTTCGTCAGTTCCATCAGCTAATATCAAAATGAATTCCAGTAGGTTTTGTAGGTAAAAATTCTGCATAAAATATTGCAATTGTTAAACCACAACTCAGTAAGCAATAAGTATATTCTCGGTTATGCAAAATTAGTCTTTAATAGTTCAACTTTTTTCTAATTATCTCCATTACTTTATTGTCCAGTGGAACTGACGCGATTTATTAAATTAACCCCGATGTAATTAATGCATAACATTTAAAAGAAATTACCAGTTGCACAGCTGAACCACCTGATTTCTCGAATGAAAGGTCAGACGGTGAGTCATAAAGCTCAGAAAGTGGACAATTAAGCTTTGCAGAATTTAATGATTTTAGGCGAACTTGGACTGCAACTAGAATCGTGTTAATTGCCTGCCCATTTTAACGATCGGCACACTGATGTGATTTTCTCCCTGCCAGCAAGAGACCACGCGAGACTGAAGATTACGCATAACACTTGCGTCTAAAAATACACCCTCATGCACTATCTCTGCTTTACCGCTGATCATGGCAATGTGTCAAAGACGGAGAGAGAAGAGGTTCGGTGCATTGCGAGAGGGGATTATAATTAAATCGGATTTGATGGCACTCAAACAGCTGATTAATGATAAGGCAGCGTCGGGATCAGGGGTAGATTCTTTACTTGAGACACTCCTCGCGCCAGGCTGGCTCCCCAGAGGATTCCGCCCGAAACACTATCATGGACAGTTGGCTGAGGCATCGCTTCAATGCAGACATGGTGCTCTTGAGACTCGCCAGCACCATCAAATCACACTTCACCGTCTCTTCTCTGGATCACCGAAACAATCCGCGACGCGCCTAATTTTAGCACTCTCGCGAGCAATTCGACGCCCAGTCTATGGACATCGGGCGGAAACACCTTCGACACAGTGATAGAGTGCCTGAGAAAGTCATGAGCGACAATGTAACTTCCACTGAGACACTGAGATGGGTCAAATGGGAACTGTTCACGCAGCAATTCAGAGCCAAACTGCACCAATTACGAGATCTGCTATGAAATATCGATACTCTGTTCCTTTCACACTCGATGATGAATTATCTGCATCACGGGTGAACTTCATATATTTAAATCTAAATGACTAATTTCGTCTCGCTGCATCTCTTTTACGCATTTGGCCCGTCAGTTGCACACAATCAGATAGTCGAGTTGCACGCGACTGCAATTTAAATCCACTTAACTGTCGATTCTTTAGTGACGCATGGCGTCGGCTAGAAATCAATTTCGAGGGTGTTGACACCCAAAAGGAGGTTACACAGTGCGAAATTATGTGTCAGCCAGATGAAAAAAGAGAAATTTCTCAACTGGAAAAATCATGAGTTTCACACCGAGAGGGTAAAAATAAACACTCTTTGTGCCCACGCGATGATGAGGCCCTGATGCCTAGAACCTTCAGCATCTCTCAATTGGCAGCCTTTTCCTTGGAAAAAAAACTCAATTCTTCCGCAGCATGAGTCACGCCGAAGAAAGGGAAATGTTCTGTCGTCACGACTTTTCACTTTGTATGATGCATTCAGTGGAAAATGCGCGGTGTGCAGATTGTGTTATTTTCAATGACTTTGTCATGCTTTTCGCCAACTTGAAAATTAGGACATCACAAGCTCCGTTTTAGAAAATCTCTGCGTACATGAAAATTCCTCACAAGCAATCAATCACATTCCTCAAATCACACATCGTCAACCGAATTCCACGCCGCGCTTTTATTTATTGAGTGTGTGTATTTTGTGCATGACTTTATTAATATCAGAAGAGAATTACAGCTTTTTTGCACTCGACACATCCTGAGACACCAGCGCGACGTCCTCAAGCGCTTCAGCAGAGCAAATACGACCTTCATTTGCAGAACATCTTATTGACAAAGCCTTCAAATATTTGGATCAGACGCGCCAGACGTACAATTGCATAAGTAAAACATATCTAAGCCCATCATAATCCTGCCACAAATGATGAAGAGATCAAGCGGGAATTTTTCACAATGAAGATCCATGAGTAAATAATAGCTGAGGCTCTGTTTAATTGCACGCCTCTGTTTACAGTCGTTAACGAAATCATTTAAAGCCAGCATAGCATGTAATTCGGCAACACTGAAGACATACTTTAGATTTATTTGTGGACGCGTTCATCCCGAATTGTGCGTTTGAAAAATCATTTATAGCAATAGTCTATTATTGGTATCGGTCAAATGGGTGCGTATTAATAGAATCTCTTCGCTCTTATCGCGGCCTTTCACTCGCCGAAGCGATTCGCATCTCGCGGTGCGTCTTGCATGATCCTTTTGGAGGCCGCAGGAAAAATTTTCCGTGCAATTTCTCACCCGAGACAACTCATGGAGAGACAGTGTCGCAGCGACTGGCAAAAAAAAGTGACGGCAATGGCTAGAAAATGCAATTAAGAATCACTTCGTGGGGCGTGATTATAATTGCAAATGCGTATCCTCGGGCTGGAGAGCGATAGGAGCGTGAAAAGGGACAAATCAACAATTAAAAACCCAATTAAGTCCATTTCCATCGCATCAACATTGGGCAGCTTATTAGTTTATGGCAGAGAACCTTGTTCTAGTAAAGTGTGATTTTCTCCATGAAATTTCCAACGTCGCAGAGATTGTGTTTTCCATGTGTCAGAATGGCGGGAAAATTGGCCGGATCTCGGTGTGATCCACATTGATTAGTTCCACGGTGCGTGATTATGCAAAAGAGCTTTGATCTTTTTTTCATCTCACTACACCTTGCACGACCACCTTGACTCCGTGCGCCCATCGACAACCAACTTATAGCCAGGCATTGTGCAATGCGAGCTGCTGAAAATTCAAGACACTCTCGATTGTGCAATGCAGAGGAGATTTAGAGAAAACCCAGAGCACTGTGAGGATGTGAATTTTTAATGAGTTTGTGTGTCATCGTCGTAAAAATCCCCCCAAAAATTCATCTTCCGCCCCCGCATTTGACCCACCGCACACGCGCCCACTCCAAGCCGCCGAATGGCATCTTCGTCTCGATGTAAATTCCCTGATACATTCTTAATGTCCAGCACCAGCACATGACGTCACCCTGGATCCCTGCTGAGGCCAAATGGATGCGCTGTAAAGGCTTGATTGTCTCGTCTGTGTTGCCTCTCCTCGACCGTGAGTTGGGTACACAAAACGATGCTGGGCAGCATGAGAAGGCCTCCTTGACACTCTTGCTTAGGAGGCAAAGTTTCAGGCGAAATTCACGACACGTGGAAACAGAAGTGGAAGACTAAAAGGCCAGAAATCAAGGGAAAAGGACATTGAAAGGAGCGCTTATGGCTGAACACAAGTGATTCAACAAAGCACTGTCCTTTTTGCAATTAAATTCATCTTTTTCAGTAGTTTGTGTTGCTGAACTTCTGAGATTTTCCAGAAGGTGGAAAACTTCAAGTAAAACCTTCAATATTTCTAAGTTTTCACGATGTAAAGCTCGCCAGGAAAACCATGATAATTATAATGATAATTATTGTAATCATTAGTAACTTTGCTGTAATTTTTCCATAAGAATTCTGGGGGAAAAATCATATTGCTCTTCTGTGACTACAAATTCTGCGACCGGTGTGACTGGTTGCGTGTTAATAGGTTTTTAATCTGTCCGTCGCTGAACATGTTTGTAGTAGAATGTCATTGCAAGTGATGACTTTTTATGATTCTCACCCCAAAAATTCAAAACATCGAATCAATATTATTGGAAACTTTGCCTTATCAACACTATCTCATCTTATAATCTGAAACTTTATTTCAGTCCAGACAAAGTTATGCAAATTTTTGGATTTTATAGTTATTTTATGACTTCTAATATGTGATGAATTTTATTTAATCGTAAGTTATACGCAGATTTTCGGAAGGTGCGGACAAGGAAATTGATATATTTCATCAGATAAAGCGCTTTGGTGAATAAATTACAAGGATATTTTTTTGTTTTTCTCTCAAATATGCCAGGAATTTCAAGATGAACTTCCAAGACTACCGAAAATTCCTTAAATTTCAATCACAGTGTGCGAGAGAAAGTCAAAGATTCCACGATACTTTCCATCTGTCTCTCATTCACGAGAGTGAAAAACATGTCGTAAAAATTGAAAATGAATTCTGAAACATTATATCCTCGGCGATTGTTAGTGTTCAGAGAGTGAAACCTCTCCTTGCCCACGTCAGAAGCTCTTCCGCCGCCAGTGACACGAGGCAGGAGTTGTTATTTCGCGGAACAAATACAAACATCGCAGGAGAAAAGATCTCCGCGGGTGCATAAACTGACACTCGCGCCCACGCAATTTCCCGCTGTTCAAATATAAAATTGAGCGGTGAAATTGGCGGGTTATATTTAGCCTGGATTGCTTCCTAGAACTCTGCAGCTGCAGCGTCTGAATGTGGATTTTCTCACCTTGTGATCGGTCCTGGAGAGTCGCTCACGGCTTTCAGCGAGAGCCGGATTTGGCGCTGGAAGGCGCCCAGGATGGACTGCCTGCGGCCGCCGATCTGCGGAGGGTCCGAGGATGTGGGGCTCTCCTTCTGGCTGTCGTCGATCTTCACGATCACCGCTCCTGGCGTGTTGCTGTCGTCCAGCAGCTTCGTCCACGCCAAGTCGCCCGGCGACTCCGGCGGCCGGCGCTCATCCATGATCTTCGTCATCTGCAATTCGGCGGCAATGCATTATCGCGCGACTGATTTATTGACTCATCTGCGGGTGTGTTTATTTTTTCGCGGTTTATTTGCTCGCCCGATTTTATTGGGTCTCCGCGCGAGAGCGAAAAAGTTTCCTCAAGTGCCGCGCGCGCGAAGAAATCTCACCCAAGTCGATCAATTAACAATTTTCACGACGTCGTTAATCACCAGCAGATGCTGCTTAATTGCGTGGATTTTTCAAGAAGCAATGTCAAGAGATATTCCGTTGGCCCCCGTTGGGATTTCTCACGGCGCCTCGTGATTAGTGAATCTCGTGTGGGATCTTGCGATCATCTGTCTGGACGCGCCTTGGCAGAGAAATGCCACAAATGCTCTCTTCCGCATTTTTGCCCAAAATGGGCCGCAAAGTGTCCTCAACACACTTCAAGGGTCCGATCAATGCGATTTGAGAGAGCCTTGACTCCGCGCGATCGCGCGTTTTTTCTCACTCCGCGCAATCCAAATATCGCCTCATCATTATATATTCACTCGACTTTAAGTGAGATTTGTGTTTTGACGATGACAGTAAGAAAACAAATAAAAATCGTGGAGGTGAAATTGTGGGATTTATGAGAATATTCTCTGCACAAACGAAACATTGCCAGAACGACGATCCCCGCGAAATCAGTCTTGGTGAGTCACGCAGTGTTTTTTACACTGATTTCCACCTCATTAAGTAATGATCACGAATCGTAAATTGCTATGATATGAATTTTCGCCGTCAATTTAGCCACATTAGCACTTGTAATAGAGCAAAATTTCATCGATTTCAATGAAAAGTTTCCCATTCCGCTGTTTTTTCCACCCATATCTGCATTTAAATGCATCAATTAACCTTCCAAGGGTCTCTCGAGAAGTGTTGACTATGGAAAAGACACTGAAATTTTCTGACATGTTCCAGAATCTCATGGTGTGGCCTTTGAGCGGTATGAAAATAAATAATTCTCTCCGCTCTTAATTAAAGTTAAATATCAATTATTTATCTTAAAATATAGCAAAATGCCGGGACTTTTTCTCGTTGACACACCAATCAATCTCGAGGCGAGTCTCAGCAACTTATTAGCGTAATTGAGGATATTATCTAATTATCTAATCATGACTACCACACATTGTTCAATTAATTCCTCTGAAAATACGAGGTGGAAGAACAATTAGGGTTAATCTCACGTGATGATGCTCAAATAAAACGACAATGCGACACACGAATTGTGGGCGAGATTTGCGAGTGAATTCCAAATGGAATTTCACACATAAATTATCACTTTTTTACTATTCATATCGCCATCTTCACACTATCGCGCTATGGTTCACTCTTCAAATCGCCAGTTTGAAAACATCAGTGCCAGACGCAATATTTTCATATGCTGTCAATTTATCTCGTCCAGCAGCTGATAGTGAGCCTTTTTTCTGCCTCCGCGGCAATGCGATCTTTCTCCGCTCGCGGAAAGCATTTGCCAGTGAGCTACACTTTGTCTCTGCAGGCCTGGATTTTTGTGGTGGATTCTAGTTTCACCATTTTTGCGTCCCGATTGTGCACTGGGATGAAAGTCACGTTGCTGAGCGATATCGAGAGTATATAGAGCGACTGTTCTGCAGTATTTTCACAGAGCTTTTCGTCATTGATTGAATTTGAGTGGAATATTACAATTTTTTGCCTGAATTTACTCTGAAAACCTCGGTCATTGAACTGAAAATGATGGCAAGAAAATGAGAACGAGGCTATTTAGAATGCTTCAGTTCTTAATTACAGCATTTATTGAATTCAAGACAGAACTAAACTAAAAATGGGATTTTGAATATTAATTCTGAACAATTTTACTAGCTTTTTATGCAAAAAAGCAGGAAAAAAGCTTCAACATGATGTAAAAAGAATGAATTTTGTCTAAAAAGTATTCGGAATATAAGAAAATGTCATAAACATTAAGTTATGACTCAGAATCTCGAAAGAAAGGTAGCAAAATCATGACCAAGGGGATAAAATTTCATATTACAAAATAATATTTATTCTTCTCAGTGTTTATTTCTTATTTCGTGTGATTGCATTGTCAGCATTTCAAGAAAATGTCACTGTGATTTCATTGGTTTTCATTCCTTCGTCAGCAATATGCAAGAAATCGCTCGCAATCAAGCATTCTATCTTTAAATTTCCTATTAATTGGACGAATTCTCAAATTGCATTAAATTGTCTTTCTGCGCTTTTTCTTTTTTTTTTGATCCTTCACTGAAATTCAATTCATGGATCTACACTTTTCGCAAAATCGTCACACTGCTAATAAACCCTTCTTTTTGTGTATTTCCCGTTCAGCTTTCCCGCTAAAAACTGAATGAATTTCAGAGTGTTTTTCTACCACCTTGTTGACTTGTAATAATCAGTCATATTGCAAAAACATAAACTATAATGTGTGGCATTCAGAGCGCAGTTTGGCAAACATCTGAACTTTTGGCTGTTCAATTTTTTTGGAAAATCCCCCCAAATCTGCCCATCTTTCCGCTAAGTCTGCGCCTCTGCATGTTCCCAATAGTGTTTCCGGCGCTCGATAGTTTGTGCGTGAATTTCCATAGGAGTTTTCCCTCCACTCACCTCCGATTAACTGCCTCTCGATGGTTTTGAGGTATTTCCACGTCTCCACTCGCGAGCGCGTGATATTTTTAATGCAGAAATGCTGTCTTTTCCTCGCAACACTTCTTCGCAGTGACACTGTTTTTCTCCCTCTGTCAATTGCAACTTCACGTTTAAAACAAACAAATGGGTAGTAATTGCAGGATAATTAGTGATAAATAGTCACTAATCGCGATAGGTTGTTCTTTGTTGAACTTTTCCACCGCAGAATTGAATCACATCGCGAGCAACTTGTGCATATTTCACTATGATTTCACTGGTCCGACATCCGCACTCTGGACAGTGGGATTTCTCGGGTGTTTTGCTGAATGTTGGAGAGCTGAAATCGCGACCGTTTTCAATGTTCGGCGCTCAAGAATAAACTGAGCATTCGCAGTGTGACTAGAGCATGTGAGACCCCGAGCGAGCGCGCGACGAGTAAACAAAGTCGGGCGACCAGTTGCTCAAATGAGGTTCCTGCATCACCACACAACTGCAGACAACATGACGGTGTCTCAGTGAGGAGCCAGAGCTGGGCAGGAGCAGCAGCTGCTGAGGTGATCCACGCCGCGCATGGAAGTGATCCTTGAGTTGCACGCGACATCCGCATACTTTGCCACAACACTTCCCCTCGGCGCGCAACGCAGAATCCCTCGCGCTTTTCTGCGTCATCGCGCGCACACGAGAAAGGTGAGAACCCTCTCCCTCGTGAGGTGGTGCTGCGGAACAATAGACGCATGTTCGCCCAGACAAAGAGATGGCAAAAATGAGTGGAAAAACACACGCACACCACAACCCTCCGATGATGGAGAAGAAATCAAGTTTTTTTTTCGTCAAACCACTCACATTCAGCTCATGCGGTGTGCGGATTGCGCGGCTTTCCAGTATACAAATGAGGCACTTTTAAAATTTCTTCCAATGCGCGCGCTCGCCCATGGAAATCCACAGAAAATCAGTCTCATCTAGTTCAAATCGGTTCGGCGACATCGCACACGATTGAGCGCGCGATCGTGGGTTGCAGGCAAACAGGTTGCGACTCTCATTTGCGTGTGATTCACCCCAGAGGTGGGCAGAGGGCCCCAAAGAGACGCCGAAAGTACTCAACGCCCCCTTGCATGGCGGTAATTGCGAATTTTTCACCGCACAAAGTCACACGACAAAGACAGCAACGGTGAAATATGAACTATTTTCGGGCTTCAGGTGAATGAAATTCATACAATTTGACGATTTCACTGCAAAATCAACTCAATTTCCAAGCGCTCCTCCAACCCAACAACGGCACATTTCGCGAAGAGGAATTCCGCGCAGTTGAGTTTTTGTGCACTGAGACAAAGAAAGGCTGTATGAATTTTTGCAAAGTCATCGTCGAGCTGAGATCTCATTACGATTTGTGCTCGTAATTTCAAGAATTATGATTCATCCAAAATGTCTCTTTTTTCTCCCCATCTCAAGTTTCTCGTGAAAATTGTCGACGAAAATATTTTGCAGCACTTTAATAACATGCAAATAAAAACTATCTGATGCATGTTTATGTAAAGCGAAGTCAGGGCGGCCGTGGTGCAGTCGGTAGAGAACCAGACTGAGGACATCACGGTCGTGTGTTCGATCCCCATCACTTGCAAATGATCGAACACAACAGATGCGAAAAATATTAAGCCCTTCAATGGCAAATATAAAATTCCAGCCCAATTAAGGTTGCTGTTAAATGTTCCAACTGAAGTAGAAACTTCTGTGGAAGTGTATTTCGCATCTGTCCTTACTTATAGATGGGCACACTACCAGACTGGTGTCGCTTGTAAATAGCGATATCGTCTGCAAACACGCCCAAGGCCAAGCTCTGCTAGTCTGTGAATTTGACTGGCTCACTTTGAAAGCCTTGCCCTCTGATTGGGAAAAAATCAGAGGATAACCGGGGGGAGAGGGACGACATAAATAAAAATAAGATATCAATGAAAGTCACAGGCCAAAGCTGTTACCGTCTGAAAGGTAACTGGGGATGGGGATGACTGGTTAGCTTTGGGTCTTGGCCCTTAAATGGGAAAATTTTCCTGGGGATGCATAAAGGGCCCGTCAGATGGCCTGGATGCCGTGGAGCAAGATTTCTTGTACCACCCCCATTTCTAATCTAATCTAATCCATGTAAAGCGAAACGTCTTATCACTGTTAAATATGTTGAGAAACTTGAGAAATGAAAATTTGCATCCGCTTTTAAAGAAACCGGTCATCTTTGCGTACGCAAGACGCACTTTTAGATATTTTTAGTTTGCCAAAAAGAGACAATTTTCCCGTTTTTCAAAAGTTACAAATTTTGTGAAGTGAAACATTTCATCGTTATCCTGATTATGAGTGATAAAATTCAAATTCAAAGGATCGATAAATGAAATTTCATGGTTTTTAGACCTCAAAAGACAACAGAGAGAAAATTTTGGATTGCAAAAATAATTAAATTAAGAGCAAGAAAGCTTGATCTTGAAATATTTGATGTCTTCAACAGACACAACAGACTTTTAAATAGATCCATTGAATTGATCTTTATCAACACGAACTGTCTTGGGATTTGCTCAGAACGTCAAAGAACCGAAATGTTCCAAAATAGTTGACCTATTTAGAAAACCAGATCATTATTAGACACTTTAGAGACATCAGCATTTCTAATGAAGTGATTGAGAACTGATTTCCTGTGTAGAATAGCCAACAGGAACTGCACTCTAAATAGAATCGGCAATAATTCAGACTAATTGAACAATGTTTGCAAGTGCAAATCGAAAAACTGTATATATTTGAGTGCAGATAATTGGAATATTCAGGAATATGCTGACTAGAGAGAGAGTGGAGCACAATCAGTCCATAGGCAAATAAACAATCGTGATCATGTACACTTGTCTCGGCCAAATATTTAATCAACTGCTCTTCTCAGCGGGCGAAATTCGAGTGGAGCAATATTGAGATGTGTCGGGAGGCCTGAACAGGGGCGAAAATGCAGAGCAGGAGAAAAGCACGAGCGGAGATAAAGAGTGATCACAAAATGCTCAACCACAAGCGCTTCGATCGCGTCACATCGACAATCAAAAGTGCTCTTTTATCTCATTATTACATTTATTAAGTGATAATTGCATAATTAATATAAAATGCGCACTTTTTACACCATTTCTCACTGTTTCTCCCTTTCCTCAGCGTAATCTCGTCCACAGTATATTTACTTCACACTCTCTTTCCCTTTTCGCAAAATGCCACTCAAACACACTATTTCTCTCTCATTCTTACTCTCCCCACATCTCAAGATTCACATTCATTTATGCCTCCTTGCGCGCTCTTTCTCCCTTATCTCCCTCCCTTGATTTGTTTTGTAAGTCATAATCGGTGTATTTGTGGGATTTTCGCTCTTGTGTAAAGGCAATATTTTTTCATATTTAATTCTCCTCTTACAATGTATACATTCCACTCTTTTCTCCCCCATTCATTAAAGCAAAACTTCCAATTCAACAAGTTTCTTATTAGTCAGCCACTATTTACAGGGTCGTTCAATGAAATTCAATACAGAGTAAAATTTATCATTAATCAAAAGTGATATTTTTCAGATTCCTCTCTTCAACGTAATTCTACACTGGCGGTGATATATCATTTGACTTGTGTTCGTCAACAGAAATTGTCCAGTTCAACGTCAACTACAAAAAAAAATGGTTTTTTTCATCTTCTTCTCATCACGTATAAAAGAGAACAAATTCTAGAATCGATATATTAACTAAGAGAAATAATCAATATATAGAAAAATAGTATAAATCAAGCTTCTTTCTTCCTCAATATAGTTTTTCTCCATTGTGTGCTACAAATATAGTGTTTCGATTAGCAATTAGTCAGCCTCAATCAGTAAACTATAATGTTTGTAAAAATGATATTTAACAATCCACTCTTCACTTAAATCTCTTCTCTTCAATCTAACACAATATAATTCTCATCGTATCTCTTTCCACTTTTCTGCCCTCCCTTTTCATTCCACTCCTCCTCCTCTTCCAACCTCTGCAATTAACACTATAATCAAAAATATTCCATAAAACTCTTCAATTCAAATTTACTGTTCCTTGTTTTGAGAACAAAATTTTCCTCAACTCAACTATTCGCAATTTCCTCACTTAATCATGTGCATCGCCCGCAATTTTGCCTACTCTCTGTGGGATAATTCAATCGACAGCTCTTCAGCTTTGCGTGAAAACACTCCGCTTATCCAAGGGAGCATCTGAGAACAATCAATTAGCGTTAATGTGTGATAATGAATTGATTACATATGGTAAAACGAGACTTCTTCTCTTCATCGTAATTTTGCCAAAAAGAGATTTTTTTTTCTTGCACTAATTATCGTGTCACTACAAGGCATTCGTGATCCATTCGTCAATTCGCTCTCCTTCGCCTAAAATCTCTCTTCTCTCTCTCTCTCTATTGTCAATTGGGCGCAATAATCCTCCACTGTCCTTTAACTACATATGTACACGTCTCTCAGCATTGGTATCGTGGGCATCAGAAGCGCCTAGTCTGGCCGATAGATGGGTATCTTGGGTATGAACTCTATCAGCAGCACGTACTCCATCATGGAGTTGGAGTCGCACTGCTGCTTCGTGAGGCGCCAATGCAGGCCCAGCTTCTGGTACAGATGGCTGTTCTCCCACTCCAGCAGCTTGTCCAGCGTGTTCTGCGTGCGCTTGCTGAGGCATATCACAGGCCAGAGAGAGCATCCCAGCGTGCAGCAGCAGCACATGCAGCCGCAGAACAGCCACTTCACGTTCATCGGCAGGGTCTTCTTCAGCACGGCGTTGATCCGCCCAATCGTGGCCTTAAACTCCTCCGGCGCCACGCGCGACACCAGCCCGGACGGGAATTCGCTGTTGAAGCGATTGCTCAGGCCGAATCTGCAACGACAGGACAAAGTCACTCTTTCTATACACTCGAGACAATGGCGCGATAAAAGCACTCTTTCGCAACACTCGACCTCATCAGCCGTCGCTCTGGGGATTTCTTGTGCATATTTGCAGGAGATTTCCTCGAGAATTTGCTCTGAATTTGGGTCAGTGGAAGTCAAAATGAAGCACGTGTCTTGTACTCTAGCGTTCTTCTATGAATTGTTAAATTATTATCGAATATTCTCAATCTCAAAACCTCTTCACGTTGATTTTCGAGGCAAACTTAAGTCTATTATTACTTCTTCAAAGAAATAATACGTTTACTAATAACACTTAATTGATGTTCTTGGTGCTCAAGTGGTGGAGAAGAGCTTTTCCAACCCCTCTAGGTTTCTGAACACCCATTTTCCCTGAGCATTGAGTGTGAACCAACTTAAATGCACAGAACGACAATCGTATAAATTCACTCTTTTGGCCAAAAACATGCTCATTTGACAATGTGCCGAATTCTCTTTTGCATTCTTGTTTATTTGGGGCATTGCGCAGAGTTCATTTACACCTATTTACACCACATTCATCTCCACCACCCCCATTTATGTGCTTGCCAGAGTAAAAATTCAGTTGCAACATCCGGAAAACACTCTCCATCAAGTGATCTTCATCAAGTTCGTGTTTATATAAATTTTCGACAATTACGCATTTTTCGTGAGCTGTATTCTAATTGGATTGCTTGCGTCAGAACATTGCCGAACCAATTAGACTGGCGGAGAAAGATTTCTTCCCAAAACAAAGAGCGAGTCACAAAACAGGTAAACTTGTGCAGTTTCAAGCCACATGCCATGAATCACGCACACGAAGATTGTGCCTGTGAAACACTTTTCCTCAATTCTCAGTAGAATCATTCACTCTCTTTCTATTTCTCTTTCTCTGCACCTTTATCTCGATCTTTATTATGTATTTGTGCAGCTTTGCGAAAGGCAAAACTCGCTAATTTACAATCTCGTGCGCGTCGTTTTCAAGAGAGAAATGGCAAAAGTGGTATTTTTGTCCATTTCATACACAAACAACGAGAGCGAATTGAAAAATCCTTTTTCTGTGTGTTTTGCCAGATTCGATTCAGAGGATAGAAAAGTCACAGCAAACAATCGAAAATTAGCAAGCAAATAAAGGATCTCAATGCGTACAAGAAGCTAAACGCTGTTTTCTGTGGCTTCAGTCGCATTCGCATCGCAATTCCACTGTAATTTCATGCGTAATTTATCTTCGGAAGTAACAATGAGCGAGATTGTGTATTCGCCTGATGGCTTTTTCTTTCAAATCAACGCAGAAGAGACACCTTACGAAACGCACTCGAGTGCGCGCCTCCCGAGAAGGTGGAAAACAAGAGTGTTTGCAATGCTTTGTGTGGCACAATAAGCACGAGAAATGCCAGAAATGTGCGGCATGATAATGGGAACGGAATTGGATGCATCACAAAGAATCCCCACTCGACGGACTTGGTGTTATTTTGGGGCCACGCGCGACCAGCCTGGGTCATCCCGCGATACTCACACTGTCATATTCCCAGCACCGCGGATCACAATGGGTTCCGGGACCAGTGTGGCGTGCATCTGGTCCTCCAGGTTGTCGTCGATGATCTCCTCCTCCTCGTAGATCGCGTCAAAGTCGGCCATCTTGCAGGACAGTCGCGGGGGCGCCTCGAGGAACGCTGTCACACTGACAAAGGGCAGAAGAAGTGGGCGCTACGCAGGGACAGACATGGCCGGCCTGCCCATCCACTGCACGGACACTTCAGGTGGGCCCCACTGGACAGTCTGGAGTACCGCTTAAGCGTGTGGGGGCGCGGGAAAGGTGAAAAATCGGGGGCAGAAGGTCACCCAAAACAAGAAAGTCAACAGAGCTCTCGCGGCGTTCACAGGCAGATTTCCGCGATTCACACTACATCACAGTGTCCTCGTGAGCCTCCGTGGCCTCTTTGTCGTCATTTTATCGCGACTCTGGCACGAAATCACTGAGAAAATGCTCAATTTTCACTCTCTTTGTGGCGTTTTACGAAGCCTCCACACTGACAGCTCAGCCAATCCCACTCGGGCAACCCTAAACACCCCCAAATTTGTCGCTCAGTTCGCCAAATTATTCCGCAAGGTGGCGTTCAGCGCCTTAATTTATGATGTTTTCTCACGATTTCCAGCTTTTCACGTACACGAGAATTGAAGACTTTTCACATCTAATAGCCAGCAATAACCTCTGAATTTAGGAAAAAATGTTTTCCGCGCAAAAACACATGTGAAGGAAAACAGCGATTTCGTAAGAATCCTCTGCAGATTTGTCCGGTCTACGCTGAGTCGATTGTTATTGGAAAATCTGTCGCTCTCTTGCAGTCACTTTTTCCACCTTTGTTTTTACACACAAATTTCCTCGAATCGCAAAGATTTAGGTGATAAAAAATGTCCTCTACCGACGACATTCCACTGGCGGATGAAGATTCTCAAGGTGCGCGCGGACAAGTCAAGTGAAGCCCGAGAAATTGCATAAAATTCCACCCCCACATTTTCACTTCCAGTCATCATCAACGACGACGAGTCGCTGCCCAGGAACATGGTGAATGGGCGCTCTCTGGACTCACTGCCCAGCACCTTCAGCTCTAGTCCACCTCCGTCGCACAGCCTGGAGGAGCAAGACCTCTCTCCGGACGAGCACGAGGAGAAGGCGCGTCTCATCACGCAAGTTCTGGAGCTGCAGAACACCCTCGATGATCTCTCCCAGCGCGTGGACAGCGTGAAGGAGGAGAACCTGAAGCTGCGATCAGAGAACCAGGTGCTAGGCCAGTACATTGAGAACCTAATGTCTGCCTCGTCGGTGTTTCAATCCACCACGCCCAGCGCCAATCCCAAGAAGAAGTAGACGAAATACTCCCGGACTAATTTTCCTCAACACACCAAAGAGATCGATTTACTCATTATGCTTCTAAAGAATCGCGCTCTCTGTCACGCCCTGCGATAATTAAGTTTTATTACTGTACAATTTACAATAATCACGCTTAAATACAGAAGATTAACACGAAAATGGGATGAAAACTGATTTGATTTGATCAGATAAGAAGTTTCCCATGGACGAGTCTAATAAGATTCCTTGCCATCTACTTCTTCAACGGGGAAAGTCATAATGACTTTGCCAAGGGGCGATTAATTCAGTCTTTTCATCGGAAAAATGTATGCTATTCTCAGAGTTTCGTGGGTCATGAATAAAATAATGTGAAATGTGGGTTGAAAAGGTGCGAAGAATTGAATAAAGAACTACAAAGAGCCATGAAAAAAATGGAAAATTTTTCTCCAAGTTGACACGTCGAGCACACTCGCGGCGCTGCCATCGGTTAGTTCTGACAACATCATAGCCGCCATTATCTCATTGGGGTAGTCGCTTGTTGGAAAAATGCATTTTTCCTGAGAGATATCGCAGATCCCAGTGGAAAAGTGTTCGCAAGTGTGTCGCGTGAGCGCGTGGAGTGAGATTGTGATAAAAAGTGCGCGGTGGCGAGTGTATTTAGTGCGCAGGGGGCGGAAAACAATTGGGTGCAGGGAGAGCGTCCTCTTTAGCGCGCCATCTGGCTGTAGCGGCCATTGTGAAAATAAATAGTCTCGCACACCCCCAACGCAGCTCGTGGAACCGCCTCGAGTCCGGTTCCGCACAGGATATCCGTGGAGAGACTTGCGCGGCTGCGTCCGCGAGACTCCTGCGCCACTGGCGCCCCCTTTGCCCGGCGGAGCAGCGCGGTTGACGTTTGATGGAAGAAGAAGATCGGCAGCCGCTCGAGAGCGCGGCAATGGACACTCCGGCGGAGGTGGTTGAGTCAGTGGAGCCTCAGAAGGAGCCAGAGAAGGAGGCCGTGGTGGAGCAGCAGCTGAATAATGTGGATGGGAAGCACACGGCCGAGGAGGAGCAGGAAGCGGAAGCGGCGCCGCCTGAGGAGAGTCCAAAGGAGCAGGCAAATAACGTGGATGCTGTAGTGAATGCGGAGGGGGTGGAAGAGGAGTCTCAGGAGGAGGAGCAGCAGCCTGCGGAGGCTGAGACTTCGCAGGACGCCGCTCCGCAGAGTGTGGAGACGTCTAATGACGTGGAGATGAAAGACACTTCCGAGGACAACACTCAGGAGGATTTACATGCGTCGGAGGAGGTGAATGTGGCCGAGGGAGTGCCGCAGACGGAAGAGGAGAAGGCAGAGCAGCTGAGGCAGCTGCAAGAGGACGATCCTTTCGCCTCGGCAGAGCCCGAAGAAGAGCCAATGGACACCGCGGAGAACTGTGAGAGTGTCGATGGCGCCAGTCAATCGCCGACGCCAATGGAGACGGCGAATTCCGGAGACGAGGAGACACACAAGTCGGGCGATGAAGCCCACAAGTCAGGGGATGAAGCGACGGCAGCGGAGGAGCCGCCAGCGCGAGAGCAAGAGGCGGTAGAGGGGAATCGGGATCAAGAGAAGAGCCAAAGCGATGATCTCTTCGATTCTCTGCACGAGGAGGCGAGAAAGTCGCCGGCGCCGCTTGAGGACACTGTCGAACAGCCGGACAGTGTGCAGAGAATGGAGTTCGAGGATGATGAGCCTCCTGCCGATGATGCGACAGCGGCTGCGGATGAAGCTGATGAGGAGAGACACGATGAGAATGCGGACGAAGCGCCTGCGGAGGAGGACGAAGGCGGTGGCGATGAGGAGGTGTGTCTCATTCCGGATGAGGAGCGAGAGATCTCTGAGGCCGAGAGGGAGGCACTGTTGGCCCAGGAAGCGGCAGAGAAGGCGCAGGAGGAGGAGAGGGCGGATGATGACGGGAGTGAGGAGAATCGGCAGGCAGAGGAGGCTGGCCCCGAGGAGGAGGGCGTGAACGCCGAGGGGCAGCCGGATGAGAATGATGTGACACACGAGGACTCCTCTGCGCAGCACGATGTCGGCATGGAGGCAGCGGAAGCCACGACGCTGGCGGCAAATGAGATTCGCGAGGAGGCGCAGGCGACCAAGGAGCCTGTGGAGTGTGTGCAGTGCAAGAAGTCGCTGAATTGCGCCTTCTCCGTGCTGCAGGAGGGCGAGCCAAAGAGTCTGTGCGCCCTGGAGTGCGTGGAGGAGTTCAGGAAGGCCAACGAGGGCACGGAATTCACGGTGCAGCGCCAGAAGTTGTCCATTTACATCATTCTGGAGACGGGAAAGACGTGCGCTCAGTGCAGCACCATCAAATTATGCAAGTAAGTGGTGGGATTGGTTCACGATGTGATCTCTGGGTTGATTCTCTGTTGTTGTCTCTCGGCAGATATCGCTTCAGGAAGACGGCCAATGCGGAGTACAGCTTCCTGTGCGACCAGCCGTGTCTCAATGCGTTCATTGTGCTGCAGACGGAGCAGAAGTGTGTCGTTATTCGGAGGAAGTATTTGATTGAGGATGTTCCGGTGAGCGATGATGAGGAGATGAGGAAGTGCTATCAATGCACAGACGACAAGGCGTGCCGATTCGTGTTTCGCCAGGATGAGGATGAGTTCTTCCTGTGTCAGGAGGATTGTGTGAATCTGCTGCTACTGGAGCAGCCGGATCGCTTCAGGCTGAAGAGACGCGCCACGACGGTGAGAGTGAGGGATTTGCCGAAGGAGAGTGGCGGCTCGGCCACTGTGATCTCCAATTCTGCCCCAGTTCAGGGGGATCTGGAGACTTTTGGGCCCGATTCGTCACAGTTGGTGGCCAGGACGCCTGAGGAGGTGGAGCAGGCGAGAATTGAGCGAGAGCAGAGCTTCCTGCGCGTCTGTGTGCAGTGCTTCAGCCAGGTGACGCCCAATGAGAAGAGCATCATCTGGGAGACGATGGACTACTGCAATGAGACGTGCCTGCAATCCTACCAGGGCATGATGCTGGGCAGCTGCAGTTTGTGTGGCATGGCGACGCCGACGGCGAGCATTGGGAAGTACTGCGTGCGCTTCGGCTATCAGATCCGGCAGTTCTGCCAAACATCGTGTCTGGCGGTGTTCAAGAAGGGGCTGAAGATGTGCTCGTACTGCCATGAGAACATGGTGGACAAGACGGGCATCCTGGCGGCGATTGGACCCACGCAATTCAAGGACTTCTGCTCGAACGAGTGCAAGGATGGCTTCCTGACGGTGGTGATGGGCAAGAAGCGCCACACGGTGGCGGATTGTGGTGTGTGCAGGAACAAGAAGCCGGTGCGCAAGGAGGTGATCATGGACGGTGTGACATTCAAGCTGTGCTGCAATGCCTGCTTCTCCGCATTTAGTTTTGTCAACAATCTCACGGCGGATCAGTGCAAGTTGTGCAATAAGTACTTTGAGCGCAAGGGCAGCGTCTCATTCACCATCTATGAGGACTTTACGCCGAACATCTTCTGCTCGAAGATCTGCTTCAATCTCTACATTGTGCAGAATCGCAAGATTGTGCCGTGCGCGTGGTGCAAAGTGAAAAAGTACAACTTTGACATGCTGAGACGCGGTTCTGGTGGCAAATCCAGTCTCTTCTGCTCCACATCATGTCTCGCGATGTACGACATGCCGAAGCTCACGATTCCCGGGAAGAAGGGTGTGTGCGACAATTGCTCGTCCAAGGGCGCGCCGCAGTATCACTTGACCATGTCGGATGGGTCGATGAGGAACTTCTGCACGTACCAGTGCGTGATGGCGTTTCAGAGTCAATTCGGGAAGCGACCGCTCACGCTCAGTTCGCCGGAGGACGACGCGCGACCGGTGCCGGCGGGCCTGCCGAAGCGCGTGAAGTCGTCGTCGGGCCAGAAGGCCACTCCGCAGGGTGACACATCTCAAGCGACTGCCAAAGCCTCGGCTCCGGCGTCCAAGAGCGCGGCAACGCCCAAGAACGCCCAACCGTCTGTACCTGTAATCGCAAAGGTCACATCTCTGTCGCCGATGGTGACGCGCACCCGTGGACGCCCGCCCAAGAACAGCCTCCCGGCCAACAATGACGCCTCGCTGAGCAATGACTTCACGCGATTCATCGAGGCGCAGCCCAGAGTTGTTCTGCAGCGCACAGAATTGTCCCACTTGCGTCCTCCAACGCCGCCACTGTCGGCGGCTCGTGTCGCCCCAGCACGGCCGACAATCCGTGTGTCGTCGTCTTCGAAGTCTGTGCAGACGGTGGCGCAGCCGGCGCCGCCGGCGCGCGTGGAGCACAAGACCCAGGTGGTCACTGTGGCGCCGCCGCCGAAGCCCGTGGCCAACATGGCGACGTCTTGCAAGCCGCTGCACGTGTCCAAGAGCATCACGTGCCGCCCGAAGACGGAGGAGGCCGAGTGCCAGACGGACGATCACCTGCAGAGGAAGATCGTCATCCCGATTCCTGTGCCCATGTACGTTCCCTCGCCCATGCACATGTACTCGATGCCCGTGCCGGTGCCAATTCCCATCCCCATCCCAATTCCCGTGCCCATCTTCGTGCCAACGACGCGCAACTCCGCGGCGGGCATTATGAAGGAGATCAAGAAGATCCAGGACAAGATGCCAACGGACCCCTTCGAGGCGGAGCTGCTGATGATGGCCGAGATGGTGGCGGGCGACAAGAAGAAGGCGGACAGCGACTCGGAGTCGGACGCCGAGGAGGCGCCCGAGGACGCGTTCGCGCAGGAGAACATTGAGACGGGCAATGCCTTCGGCGAGGACATGCTGCAGATGGCCCTGAAGATGGCCACGGAGTACGAGGAGCCCCCGGTGGATCTCGAGTCGGCGATGACGGCCAACACAATCACGCCCGGCGCCCATCCGCAGCACCTCGGCGAGAGTGTCATCGAGCAGCACAACACTCTGCATCAGCACCATCTCATGCTGATGGAGCAGCAGAGGTGAGTGACTCTCATATTGATTTTCCAAGGCTTTCCTGTGGGGATTTGTTGCGGCTTACTGGAGGCGTCCCATCAGAGTTGAAGTGTGTCTAGATGGGGATGATTTAACACTAGATTCACCAAGAAGATTGAGATTGAATCTTGCCAAATTGTCTTGTATATGAGTTCATAAACAGTGATTTTCATGACTGAAATTTCTACTTAACACTAACAAAACGCTTTGTGGCCACTGTGGCCAAATTTGTATTTCAAGCCACGCTTTATTGTCTATTGTATTATTGAAATGGCTTTCATTTGGCGCAAACAACATCTGAAAATAGTTAATTAGTTTATTCTTAATTCGCAATCAACGAAAAATTACCCTCCAAAGCACTTAATATAAATGTTGAGAATTTTATCTTTCATCTACATAAGTGAGACACTTAGCAGCTCTGTTTCTAATCCACCCCCAATCCATATTTCATGAGCAGACAAGCTGAGATGGCAGTCGGAAGAGGCCGGAAACGCGCCACGCCCGCCTCGAGGAACACTCGACCGGCGCCTGTGAAGCGTCAGCGGCGGAATGAGAACGTCGTGCCGACGCCGCCGCAGCCGGAACCGCCAAGGGAGCCGGCGGAGAAACCGGACGCGAACATGTGCTTGAAGGTTTGTTCGCGAAGTTGTGGAGGATTTTCCTTTGTGCTGTGCTGATTCTGTGCCTGTCTTCTTTGCAGTACACGTTCGGCGTGAATGCCTGGAAGCAGTGGGTGCTGTCGAAGAATGCTGACCTGGAGAAGAGCACGCTGAGGCGAAAGCCCTTCAAGTCGGATTTGCTGCAACTCACGGCGGACGAGCTGAACTACTCGCTGTGTCTGTTTGTGAAGGAAGTGAGGAAGCCGAACGGCAGTGAATATGCGCCGGATACAATTTACTACCTTGTGCTGGGCATTCAGCAGTATCTGTACGAGAACAATCGAATTGACAACATCTTCACTGATCCGTACTATGAGAAATTCACCGATTGTCTCGACGAGGTGGCGAGAAAGTTCTCAGTTCTCTACAATGATTCTCGTGAGTGGTCAAGACTTTGTCAATTGCGTGTGTGTTTGTGTGTGTGTTTAAGAGATGTTTCTCAAGCTGTTTCTCTCTCTCTTTGTGTGCAGAGTACATCGTGACTCGTGTGGAGGAGGAGCACTTGTGGGAGTGCAAACAATTGGGCGCCCATTCGCCTCATGTTCTGTTGAGCACCCTCATGTTCTTCAACACGAAGCACTTCAATCTCACCACTGTGGAGGAGCACATGGAGCTCTCATTTTCGCACATCATGAAGCACTGGAAGAGGAATCCCAATGCGCCAGGCGCGGCCAAGTTGCCGGGATCCAGGAATGTCTTACTCAGGTTTTATCCACCTCAAGCGAACGGTGAGTCTCTTAATTCAGTTTGTCGTGCTTTTGTGGGGGTGGAAAATGACATTCTGTGTCTCTTGTGCAGAAGGCAACAATCGCAAGAAGAGAGTTTACGAGCAGCAGGAAAATGAACAAAATCCGCTTCGATGTCCTGTGAAGCTCTACGAGTTCTATTTATCCAAATGGTGAGTAAATAATGCAGGAAATCGAAGACTGGGCAGAACGTGCGCTAAATACACAATTCTCTCTACTCTTTGCAGTCCCGAGAGCGTCAAGACACGAAATGATATCTTCTACCTGCAGCCGGAGCGCTCGTGCGTGCCAGACTCGCCCGTGTGGTATTCAACGCAAGCGCTCGGCCGTGAGTCACTCACGAAGATGCTGCATCGCGTGAAGATGGTGAAGGAGATCAACATTGCGCTCCTCACGAGCTAAGCGAGTCTCCGAGAAGAACTGTAGCCATATTTCAGAGGAGGAAGTGAAGAGGAAACTAGGACAGAGAGAGAGAGAGAGAAAGGATGAAATTGAGGAGTGACTGTCTGTGGAATATTTTGATGTTGTAAAACAAAAGGAGAGAATGGTAGAAGAGATGAAAACTTTCATTTATGATGGACTTTAACGTAAGGAAGAAGTTGAAGTAATAATTACAATTTAATAATAAAATGAGACAGAATGAAATAGAATGAGGACTTTATTTCCGCTCTCGACACTACAAATGGCCACGCTTTAGGCCTTCTTTGGCCGATGGAAGACCTTCTTGCGCTTCATCTTCTTCCGCATGAGCTCCAGCTGGTGCAATTCCGTGTACACCTCGGAGTACACGGCGTTCTGCTCCTCCTCGGGGATCGTCTTGCGGTACTGCTTCATCAGGTCGTACTTCTCCCACGGCTCCAGTCTTGCGTGCCACTTCCGGATGCGCTTCGGGTTGAGATACTCCATGATGTTGGCGATGCCCTTCAGCTCCTGCCTCTCCCACCTCTCTAGCCACGGTCGTGGCTTCAGGATAGCCTTCAGCGGATTCACCGGCACCTCGGCGCCGTCTGGCAACAGCTCAGGCTCCATGTCCATGTCGAACGTGGAGAACTCCGGCAGACAGTCGCGCAGGTAGAGGAGTTTGTCGTCCAGTCGCTTCTCCAGGCGCAGCACCTCGATCTTCTGGATGGTGGGATCGTACATCTGAAAGTCCACCTCGATGCCCTGGTGATCGATCACGTTGCGCAGGATGAAGGCCGATCGGATACCCGTGAAGTAGCGATCAATGCAAATGCCCACGAAGCGACTCGTCTTGCCGGCGGCGTGCGGATCCGACGACGTCACCGCCATCACGGATCCCACGTAGAACTCAGGGATGTCAATCTGTCGCCTGCGCTTCAGCATGTCCGTCCGCTGCAGCTTCTCCATCAGCGTGTTCCGGTACTCGATGTTCGGATCCGGCAGGAATTCCGGGTAGACATGCCGGAAGTTTGGCGGAATCAGACTGTTCACCACGCGATTCTTCGGGTCGTGCACATCGAAGAACGGCTTGGGGGCTTTGTCAAACCACCGCGAATTCTTGGGTTTCACGATGAAACGCGGATAGGAGCCCTTATTTCCTGTCGGAAGCCGAAAGAAAAACAACAGAGTGAGGTTAAGTGGCCACAGCTCACCCCCAAAATCCACTTACTCTCGCACACAACCAGACACTGATAGATTGACCGGTGAAGCCGGGATGAAATATTCATGATTACCCTTTATTTGAGCATAAAACTACACTATTTTATGATAAAATTAAGAAATCCGCGATCTCCTCTCTGGTCTTATTTTCACATCTCCACCACACCTTCTCGCCAATTCCGCGAGATGGCGCTGGCGGAGCATCTCCCGCCAAATCAATTCTTCAGCATTTCCTGCAATTTCTTCCGCGCCGACGACACTCTGTCCTCCTGCCGCCGGATGTCCTCCTCGCTGATGTTGTAGGAGTACATCAGGGGCTGGTCGGCGTTGAGAAACACACCCGGATTGGCCGCCAGCGCGGATCTGGAGGCTGTCTGGCCGGTGACTGAGTGATTGGACACGTGCAGGGATGTGGCGATGGACTGCAGCAGCGTCGTCTCCGTCACATTCGGCCCCACCGGCTTCAGTCCCTTGTTCATCTCGATCGCCGTGAACTCGTGCCCATCCACGTCGCACGCCCGCAGGCCCTCCAGTCTCTTCTCCCAGAACAGCTGCTTCGGCCGCTCCTGCACGCCGTGCTTCAGCTCAGACTTCACCTTGCTCTCCTGCGTCTTGAACACCGTCACCGGCTGCTTGAAGATCGACGCCGTCTGCCTGATCGGCGGCACCAGAGACACGTCAGTCCGCATCCCGCCTCGGCTGCAGCCGCCAGATGATCCAGAAGATCCAGAGAGCAAATACAAGACAAATGCATTAGTTTCGCCAGAAAACCAGCGGGAAATGCCGCAATAAATGGACAAACATGCGAATGAGACGACAAAATCAATGCCAAGGGGTTTGTCAACCCACAAACTCATGTCACTAATTATAATTTCACATAATTTTTGCGACACGCTTTGTTTGTTTGCTAATCAATCATTATCATTTTAAGGGTCACCAAAGCGCACTGTTAAACATTTTATTCAAATTTCTGACCCATTGTGTTTGTTATGCATAAAATTTAGAAAAATTCCATATAAATACACATTAATGATTTAGAATTTCATCAATTTCCATTGAACTCCCAGTGAAAACAGTGATTAGTGTAAAATGCCGCAAATTCAGAGGAAAAACTCAGTGTTCTTGACAGATCTTGAAGACTTTCCCGTATTCAGAAAAGATAATTTCTCTTTAAAAATCGACGTGAGGTATTTAAGTGAGGAAACACAGAGAAAAGCCGAAAGGGAACTCAATGAAACACCAGACGTGAAGAAAAGAGCCCTAAAAGAACTCAGTCAACTGATTCAAAGTGCTTTTCTCACACTTTTCCCCTCTCTTACAAGTCTAAAATGGCTTTTAATGTCTTTTCAGATGATAAAACTCTAATAATTCCACATGAAAACACAAATTTCCTGCTCAAATTCCTGCGAGCCCGCAAATTTGACGTTTCTGAAGCTCTTAATCTCGTGAAGAACTATTTCAAGTTCAAGAACGAATTCCCGCAACTCTTTCAAAACGTCATTCCGTCGGAATGCGCTAGCATTTTTGCCATGAACGCCGTCATCTTGTCCCCTTTGAAGACTCAACACGGCCACAGAGTCATCATGGCGCAGGCTGAGGCTTGGAATCCCGATGTGCTGCCAATGGAACTCATTGCGGCGATGTTCGTCATCGGCGAAGGACTCTTGATGGAGCCCGAAAGTCAAGTGAACGGATTCGTTACCGTAATCGATTTCAAAGGATTTTCCTACAAACACTTCAAGCACATCACGCTGAGCCTCATGAAGCTCATTATTCGTCTGATAAGCAATGTTTTGCCGGTTTCGGTAAAGGGAATTCACTACGTCAATCAAAATATGTACATAAACATCCTTTATAGGATCGTGAAACCATTTCTACCGAAAGAAATCAATGATATTCTCCACTTTCACGGCAATGATCTGGAAAGTCTTTATGAATTTGTGCCTAAAGAGTGTCTTTTAGAGTGTTTCGGAGGCACAATTCGTCATCCCAAAATTTCAGAAGTGGAATACAGGGAATTTTTGAAGAAATTTGACGAAGAATACATTGCTTACAATTCCTTGGGTTACAGAAAGTTGTGAATTGCGGTATTTAGAGGAATATTAACCACAATATTTCAAGAAATGTGCTCAATTGATTGATTTATGTCAGAAAATTCTAACGGAATTGTATGTTATTTTTTTTAATTTCCTTACTGAATAAAGTCCAAATCATTCTAAATACTTAAATTTTGTGTTTTACAAATATTTGCATCATAATAAGAACATCCAGGAAATATTTGTTTGAAAAAGTCATTTAAGTTATTTTTCACGATATTTTCTGCATTATGTGAATGGAATTCTTTTCAAATTATAATATTTGAATAATAAAATATGAGATTCAGATTAGGGACATGATTTTGTGGACTGACAAACCCCTCTCGAAAATCCTTTCTCTAGAAAAACTTGAGAAAAACTCAACAAAAACGGATGAAATAAAGTGATTTCCACTGAAATGATAACAAATAATTACCGGAAAGGATGGATTTTAGTATATATCGCGAATTGTGCCAATCTGTGTGCTTTTGCTGCTCTTTTCCACCCACAATTTGTCCCTCTTTTGCCACCCCAACAACAATTTCAACGGCCAATTGCGAGCACAGCGGAGGGAATTTAAAATCGTCCGATATATACTAGAGCCCGCGGGCTCTCGGGAAGTCGACAGAGAGAAGGGAGAGAGAAAGAGAGGTCTGCGAACTAAGGGCAGCAGCGGTGGCCAGCGGAGGGCTACCTGTAGTCCGGGAATGGATGGCGCGATTGGCCGGGCGGCAGATTGTCCGGCAGTTTGCGCTTGACGCCCAGAGAGCGCTGAATCAGTGAATGCGACAGGGGGGCGCGCACTGGGTGGCTCTCGGCGACGCCCGGAGACAGATCCATGGCGTCTCCGGGGGCCCCCAAGGGCCGGCCGAGCTGCGGAGTCACCTTCTTAGCGGCTGCTGAGGGCGCTCCACCGGCAGCGGGGCTACACAGAGGCAACAAATGCACGTCAGCGAGGAGGATGAGAGATGAAATGGGGACACAAGCTCTCCACCAGTCGCAGACGGGCCCCCAATCACCCAAACAAGTACCTGATGTAGTACACGTCCACCTTGTCGCGCTGCAGCGTTGACATTTCGGGCTTCTTGCGCTCAATTGAGATATTCATCGTCGGCGGGGATGCTTTGGGGCAGGTTCACGCAAATACTGGACCGAGTGGTGCAGGAAAGCCACGGAAAAATGCAATTTTCTCACCCAGACTCAAGCCATGAAAACACAAAACAAAACACGAAACGTCAAACTTTCGACGAGTTGGCCGGTGGCGACGCCTCGCGGAAAAGAAAGCAGACCTTCTCGTTCGGCAGCTGGAAATTTTCCCAGAAATCGTGTAATTACCGTCTTTGGACTGATCTAAATGAGTGACACCACTTTGCACGTGTACAGAGGAGAATGGGGACTCGCGTCTGTCGATCTGGAGTGTCTCCAAGTTCTGGTAAGGCGTATTTCGTGAGATATTCTGTGTGAAATGAACTAACCTCAATTTTCGTGGGTATCTTCCGGACAAAAACAGACTCTAATGAAGTTCCTGGACGTCCCAGCGGAGATCAACACCAGAGGCAGCACATTCTTCTCCCCCACCGGCTTTCTGCCCTACATCAGCGATGGTGGGCAGAAGATTAACAGCTACAAGAAGATATCGAAGCACTTCCTGGGGAAGGGATTGGATGTAAACAAGGACTTGAAAGAGGAGGACAGGAGTCTCTCGAGCGCCTATATCCAGCACGCCAAGAGTAAACTGCACAGCTACTTAGTCTACACGATGTGGGGCACAACGGAGAGTGCGGAGGCCACGAGATTCCTCTATGCGAAGCGGAGTCCCTTCCCGCTGAGCTTCTTCAAGCCAGGACAATATCTGAAGCTGGCGGAGAAGTACCTGCAGGTGCAGTGTGGCTTCTCCATCAAGAGCGGCATTCCGCCAGAAGAGCACCTCACGCGAGCGCTCATTGTCGACGCGAAGAAGTTCGTCAATGAGATTTCTGCCCAGCTCAGCGACCGGAAGTGGTTCTTTGGGGCTTCCCCGTCGGAATTCGATGTCATCCTGTACAGCTACTTGGCTCTCCTGCTGCACTATCCACAGAACTTCAATCCCTTGGCAGGACACATCAGAGAGTGCAGGAATCTCGTGGATTTCGTGACGAGAATCACGAAGACGTACTTTGAGGGACTGACTTTTGACAGTGGCGTGAAGATTTCCGCCGCCAGCGGATCACAGGGCCACAAATCCAAGGCAAAGGCACCAGGAGAGGAGGAGGAGAGCAACCTGAAGCTTCAGATCATCGCCGGACTCGTGGCTCTGGTCTCAATGATCGCCTTCTCGCTCTCGGTGGGCATCGTCGAGATTTCCCGGGAGTCGATCCCGCACGAATCAATGGACTTCGACGATGAGGACGAGGACGAGGACGAAGGAGAGTAAAAGAGACTCTAGTTCATTGCTAAAAGTACACTCTATATTGTAATGTCCTTAGTTTGAATAGCATCAATGATTTTGTTACATAAAGTCTTGTTGAAATATCCTTCGATTCCGTCCTTTCTCGCTTTCTCTCTCTCTAAATCAATGAAATTACATATCACAAAAATTACCTTAAGAAACCCACCGTTGGGAAACAGTTGGGAATCAATGCCATTACAAATCCAGGATAAATTGATATTCTTGCTCATAACGAGACACGAGAAAAGCTCTCCACAGTTTTCACTGCACCACCAAAGAAATTTCAATCAATTCGCCTAATGAACACGTCTGCATCTCAACCTTCGGCTATGCGAAAAATGCCCGCTGAACGTCCACAGCACTCTCGTCACCACGACAAACACGTGAGATTTCCGTCTGAGCTTCCTCCCCGTTTACGCCGCAAGCGCTGAGAGGAACTCCCTCGGCAGCATCCACAGCTGTCCGTCTGTCCGCCCCTCGCTTCAGTGGCACTCGATGAACTCATTGAGCGCCCGAGGCACTTCGTCCCTGTACGCAATCTTGTGCTTCTGGATCGTCCTCGCGGCCAGACACTTGAGCGTCGTATGCCGCACGGGATTCACCAGCTCGCGCAGTTGCTGTCCCTGAAGCAGACTCTCGAATGTGTCCCCATCGGCATTCTTTGCGTCCTGCAAGGAAGTGGACAAGTAGAGTGATTAAAGAACTATATAAATCAGTGAAAATAATGATTTGGTATATGATTTTGCGCTTGAATAATGACAGATTTCATCGAAGCTCCTCCCATTCAGATGCTCCGCCCATAAACGGGTGTTATTCTGATCGATATCGAGTGATTATTGTATATAAAAACAGAGCAAACAGGTGAAAATTAGCATAAAGTGTTCCAAAGGAAAAACTAAGATCTATTCTCACTTAAATCCCACTTATCAGTGGTTTAGATTTCAAGAGTTCAAACACATTCAATGAACAGAATAGAACCAACAATCAAACAATCACTGCGTCTACTCAAGCTTCCACCACTGTTCATCAATGCCAATCAATCGATTCATGGGAAACGTTTCTTCCTCTGCTAAAGCGCTAATTTCCACAATTACACATTCTCATCTGTGCAATTAAGCGGGGAAAATGAGTAAAATCTCGCCTGCAGCCACTCACCAAGTGTGCTCCGTGATCCACGAGAGTCTGCGCCAGGCTGGCTGGACAGGGGCGCGCGAGGGCGGCAAGATGCAGTGGCGTATTCCCGGCTTCGTCTTTGGCATTGGGATCTGCGCCCACTTGCAGCAGCGCCTTCGTCAGCTGCGGCGAAGGGAACTGGCACGCCGGATAGCGCCCCACGAGAGCCGCCTCGCGATAGCACGCCAAATGCAGCGCTGTTCTCCCCGAGCGGATGATCACCTGGAATAACGGTGAATCGGCGTTGAGACTCTTGTCGCCACTCGAGAGTTCTTCGCACTCTCTCACACTCTCCGCGGCTTATGTCATCTTGTGTGCTTACCTTGAGACTAACGAGATCGTAAAGAGCTTTCAGGACTTGCTGCCGAACCTTGTCCGAACACTCGACATCGTCACTGAGCAGCCTGGCGAGATGGCACGCCAGATGGAGGGCACTAACGAGGGCTCTGCTGAGCGCCGCTGTGTCTCTCTCCTTCTCCGGCAGCGCGGCGATCATCTTCTGTCCTAACTTCACCTCGTGCACCGCCTTGTCGAACACCAGCAGCATGTCGTCCGTGTTGATGGGCGGCACCACGCGCCCCCTCGTCACCGGCCGGCCCGCCTCGCCCAGCATGTAACTGAATAGCTCGGCGAAGGACAGCAGGGAAGACTGCGTCATGGGACTTAGCGGCTCCAGGATGCTCTGCTGCATCGTCAGTGCGTACGTCCACAGCTCGATGCACCTGTCGAAGCGCCCCGCGTCGGCGTAGATCGCCCCCCGATAGCGGATGTAGTAGCTGGTGTCCGGATGCGCCGGCCCCAGGATCCTCTCCCTGATCACCAGCGCCTGCATTCGCATCTCATCCGGATCCATCACCAGATCCTCCAGCGCCGCAATGTCAGACACCTCACGCACGAAATCGTACGCCGCCACGGGCTTCACGTCGGCCGGCTTGGCCATGTGCGGCTCCTGTTCGTAGCGATTCTCCAGGGCGCGGCGCCAGAACGACAGCGCAGTCAGCATGTCACGCTTCTTGTCCACAAACGTCGCTCCAAGCAGTTCCAGCGCCGCGATGCGGTCCTGCCGGCTCACGTATGGCAAACTGATGAGGTGCTCCACAATGGCAACATGTCCAGTCACGCTGGCGGCCAGCAATGGTGTCATTCCTGCAGAGAATCACAGCAAACAATAAGAAATCAATGGTCAAACTATGCTCCTTTTGCTCCATTCTTTCCCAAATCATGGTTCAAGTGGAAACTGTGTTTCAAAGGTGTTCAAAATGACGACAAATTTGATACTTTGGCGACATTTGACTTCAATTTTATGCTCTCTTGCTCAATTTATCGACTATTAAAGCTCTATTTAATCACAGTTTGCCATTAGGAAACAAAATTATCGTCTGATAAAATCATGAACGATCAAAATCATCTGAAAAATCTCCATCCAGAGCGGAAAAGGAAGCGAGAAACGCCACCGATTCTCTGGGAAGATGCCAGTGATTGTGATGAACCACCGCCAAGGACGATCATGAAGCGTCGCGGGGTTAAAGTTCAGCTGCCAAAGGCTCGAATGTACACATCAGAAGCGGAAAAATCAAAGACTCACCGTAAGAATCTACGTCCATTGTCGCGCCGTGCTTGAGCAGAAGCTGCAGAATCTCCAGCGATCCGGACTCTGCGCAATCGTGCAACGCCGTGTTGCCCTTCACTGTCCTCCTGTTCACATTCGCCTTCAGATCCAGCAAGTACTGCGCGATGTTAAAGTGACCCTTGTAGCACGCGATCATCAAGCATGTGTGCCCATGTCGATTTGCCACCTCAATATCTGCCAGAAACACCAAGGAGGAAAAGTCTTTAGCACAATGTATGCAAATGAGGGAGAAAAGTCACTGCCGGGCATCGCGAAATGATTCAAGTGACTTACATCATGTAGGAAAGAGTCTCGTGTGTGATTTCATTTTAGGTCACACTGGAATTCTGCCGCATTTTAATCTCTCGCTCATATTTAAAACAAACCCAATAATAAATCAGCATTCGTATTTTTTCTCTCTCAATTTGTCGCTGACTTTTCAAGGTACAACACACTGAATGGTTCATTGAAAGTGTCTCAAATCTCTCATAAATACTGTTCTCAACACATTGAAGAAGAAGTACAAAAAAACCATCTGAATTATTCATTGTAAGAAGATCTCAATCAATTCCTTCTTCATTATCCTAATTGATCGCCTTCTAATCTCATCAATTTGCACGAACATTTTCCTCGTGGAAGAAGGAAGAAAACCACAGCAGAAAATGCTCTTCTGGATCGTGGAAAAAGCGGCGAAAAGCATCGATCGGAAGTTGAATAACCCCAAAACAGAGAATTCAAGGTTTCAATTGTCGGCAAATTGTTTATGTCGATTGAACATCCCAAAAATGCTCTTTCCGCGCCAGATTCGACTCAACACAAAACACCCATAAATTATTCAGTTGTCGTTTGGAAGCGCATCGCAAGCGCTGGACGATCATCAATGCGGAAGCATTAAGAGAGAAGAGAAAAAAACTCTTGCTAAAGTATCTCAAAATCAGCTGAAGAAAATCTTACGCGCACCTTATGAATAACACATGAGATTCGCACACAAGCACAAGAAAAGTAAGTACTTTAGCGTGAAAACGATTTGAAAACAAACAGAGATATAATATGAAAATTTGTGGGAAAAAAACTAAAGGGAATCCAAAGCATAAATACAAATAGAATCAATTGGCATTTTTTCCCGCGCGCGCGCGCTCAAAGAAAACACACAATGAATATTCGGAAGAAGATTTCATTTTTACAGCTAAAATTAGTAGAATTTCCTCTTCGTTATAACAAATCAAATGGCGAGAGAAAAAAAGTAAATAAGGAAAATATCGAGGAAGTAAGAGCTATTTTTAGACGCAATGCTGATTCTCGCAAAAGAAACTGTTCTTTTTCTCGCGAAAATAATCCTTATGGTGACTTTCATCGCAACTTCAGTGTATTTATAAAAATGTTCAACAAGTCAGTGTCAGCTTTATTAATGGAGATCATATATTTAAATGTGGGCATTAAATAACATTTTAAACTTGAGCTTTTGTAGTCTCGTTAGTTCAATATAAATAAATCTGTGATAAGGATTAGTTCACAAGTGAGATTTCTTTGAGAATGTCATGCTTAACATAAAAAATACAAGCGCTGAATCGTTATTCATTAAGCCTGTTGACTGAAATCCTAAACTTCTATGGTTCAAAGGCACAATTCCCATCGGATTTAAATGCAAAATTAGCAAAATCACGTCATCTTAGAAGCTCTTCTTGCTTAACGTAACAGACTTTATAGATTAAAGCACAAAGAAGCTTCAAACAAGGACTTGAATCTTCAAAATGCAGTTTATATTTGACTATAACATCTCGTTAAAGCATCCATTTTCATGCTTCGAGAGAATTTTTAATAAAAAAAACTACCATTAAAAGAATATATAAACAAACAATTCGATGCCATGTTTAGCAACTTATCAGATTGCTTTGCTTAATTGATATCATTAAACGCCATAAACAGTGTGAAACTCCAGATTTCACATCCCTTAATTGCTGTGTGGAAGAAAAGATGTTGTGTAAGCGCAATTTCACGCAGTATCACAACTCTGTGCCAATAAGAAAAACCCACCAAGAAACCCTTTATCGCTCAGTTACGACCAATAAAACCAGCAGTGATCGCGCTTAAGGCTGCGTTGGACACTCACCAGCTCCGTGTGAGACTAGATACGTGACGATATTGTAGTGGCCATCGAAGCACGCGGCTCTGAGTGGCGTGGAATTGGTTCTCGTCGTGCTGTTCACGTTGGCGCCGTGCTTCATCAGTAGCTTCACGATGTGGTCGTGGCCGGCCGCCGCGGCGCACCACAGCGGCGGCGCCCCATCGATCGTCTCGCCGTCGAACGTGACAATGCCCGACTGCTCCACATCCACGTGACACTTCTGGAATAGATACTGCACCACGTCGTAGTGGCCATTGCGACAGGCAATCACGAGCGGCGTGGAGCCGCCAGTCTTGGCCGACACCAGAGCGTCGATCTCCACTTGATTCTTCCCGTTGAGGAATCTCTGGAAGACAGAAAGAGAACAATTAGCTTCCTTATTTGACATCATCTCATGTGCACAACCTCAAAACATTCAACGTCATCGCGCGAGTTACACACAGCAGAAAGAGGAAAAGCATACACACATTAAGCTGCGGTGGAAACCTTCACCCGCCAGGTGAGCCTCGTATTTGTTCACGTGTTGTCTTCAGTGACGCAACGGAAAATGAGATTGCACGACTTCATCTCTCACCTTCCCCAGTCACCGCAGAAACCACAAGACGACCACAACAGTTCTTCAGCAGCTGGAAAGCGAGACGGCGCGAAAAGAAAAGGTGGTTCGTCACCTTTCCTTCGGTCAGATCTTCCTGACATTGGACACAATTGCTCGCGATCGCAATTCACCCCCCGCGGTGATGACCTTCTCTTCTCTCACTTTCCTGAGAATTCTCTTCTTCTTCTTCTTCTTCTTCTTCTTCTTTTCTTCGAGAAGAGCCAGGAGAAATAATATATTATCATGAGCGACAGATACAAGTGTAATATTTCATTTCATGCAGCAAATTCACGGCGCAAAGAAAGAGACGTTGACTCTCAGTCGCGCACACATTCAGCGAATTTTCTTCATAATAAGTACAGTAAATTTCCGCGCTCAGATCTCATCTCATATTCACTCTGCCATGTGCGCCGTGCTCATTCACTGCAATCACTTCCTGATTAGACAATTACTTTATTATTAGTTTTGACGCCTTGACATGTGGCTGCATCCGAAAATACACCGGAAAAGCCAACGTGGAGAACACCACATTGGCAAATCTTGCGGCATAGAACTTTGCCGATCCACACAGAGACAGAAATAGACCGGCATTGCTTCTCAATAGGGGAGCGCGAGGCTCTGTGAAGCCACCAAAGCACACCACATTGAGCCGTGCAAACTTTCCTAATCAATTTCTCCTCTCAAATCGCTCTCTTTCGACGCGCTATGCGGCGTTTCTCAACGTCTCATTCAATTGCCTCGGCTCAATTTATTTAATTACCCACCATCGCTAGGAAATTGTGTTAGTAAGTCGGGTGGTGTAATGTGTGCGCGCATGTTAGAGCAAACTTAAATATTTATTTGACATGTTTGTGACAATTTTTGCACGAAATCTCTTCACATCATGTGTCCCGCATCACAATGTCACTCTTTGGCACATCACCACAGAGAGAAGGAGAGAGAGAGAGAGACTCCCTCACTTGAGCGCCGCCACTCTTTTTGAATCCCATTAAGTCACTCAATTATAGACCAATTCAACCGCATTAAATACACCTTGACGACATTACATGGCGAATCAATGTAATTTTCTGTATCAAATTCTTTATGGCCCAAAACAATGGCGAGCCAAAAGGGTTCAATTCACGGAGGAGGAAACACAGCGAGATCATAATCAATTCTCCCATTGAATGTATGCGATCCAGAACTTGCCATTACCATATAAGAACACGATAACTTCTCGCAGACACTTTTCAATACATCGCGCGCGTCTTACCTCTCGATTGTGTCGCTCTGAGAAGCAGTTAATTATGCTCAATGGCGTCATTATCCCACCATAAACGACTATTAATAATCTTTCTCAACTGTGAGTTGCACACACGAGTAAAACATAGAGTAAGAGACGCTATTAATGATCAGATTTCTAGGAAAATCTGACTGGAATATCCGAGCAAAAAGACAGTTCCTAAATGGGCGGGGCATTCGAAGGGGCGTGGCAGCCAAAACTTGGCGCTTTGTCTTATTTATTTGGGAAAAGTGCTCATAATTCCAGCTCCTTCCCTCGCTTCTCTTGGTCTCTATTGACTTCTGGTTTGTCAGTGTTCAAGATCAACTCTCTTTGCAAATCACAACACAGTGAGAAACGCTTGTTTTCGCACTGGAACACGTTGAAGGCTTCCGATCGTCACTCCACTTCTCACGGAGACGTCACCAGATTGCATTTATGCAGAGTGATTGTAGCAAATTGATCCTATTAATCACTGCACTCGAATCTTCCGCGAGCCTGAGGGTGTGGATTGTCGTCACAAAGCCCAGTGTCTTCCTTCCTCGTTGTGCAGACAAAGCGCCAGCAACACACAGAGACAGTATCAATTGTCTTTCTACACTTGTCACGATTATCCTTCGCATTCCTTAATTGTGTCTCAACAAAACACCGCTTGAGCAAACGCAAGGCGCGAAGTGGGTTGAGGAAATGCCAGGTAGGAAATTGTGAAGTCATAATCCTCTAACAATAGAATCGCACGCAAAGGCAAGAATACACACTCGCATATTTTGCAATATGGTGATAAGAAAAGCCTGCGATCCAAATATCAAAGGCACAATTAAATTGCCATTAGAGAGAAGCCAGATGGGAGAGCGATATTCACTCTTCATTTCAATAAATCGCGAATTGATTCGAAGGACAGTGGCGGAATCACCAGAGAGAGAAAAAGCTCCCAAGGTTACATTTCATTTGTATGTTTACTCGACGTCTCTTAATATCGCTTCCCTGATAAATTTTCGCATTTAGACATCGTGTGCGAGAGAACTTATTTTCTCAATTACACTCCCCCTCCTCCTCCTCCTTTGGCTCATATTCTCCGATATGTTTTTTCTTCTTGTTCGCACAACTATTGATAGTCAACATGAAACACATAATATTCCCTCAATCTCGCGCCAACATCAAATTCTCCCCCCACAAAGATCGCGTGATGGGGAAACAAGAAGAGCTTCGCGGTGTTCAATTTAACTATAGGCACATTTTCTCTCTCAGCATTTGTTTATGCTTTTTTCTCTCTTGTCGACAATTGCGTTCTACATTTCATCTCTCATCGTTTTATATTGCCCTCCCCCAGACCCGCCGCCACAAGGCCCAAATTATGCTCTGTATGTCATGATTTGGATGAGGGAATATCATCGATAAAGTGACGGGTCAACATTTAACATACTTTTCACACATTACGATTCCCAAAATAAATGCCGCGCTTCATGCTGTACAACAACACTTTTTGCACACAATTTTGCTGAGCATAAGCATTCAGTGATTGTGTGATAACATCGACAACACTTTTCGCACACACATCTTATCGCACTTGAACAATCGTATAGTTTTTGCATTCTTTCGCGCCTTCAACATTTGCGGAATCGCATAAGTTTTTATGTTTGCCTAATAGCATTTTTTGGCAATGCAGGAAGAAGATGAACAGGAACGTGGAAGTGATTATGATGGGGTTTTTCCTGGCCTGGCATTTTTGTCAGAAATCAATGGAAATGTACTGACGAAAAGCGAAAGGCATGAGCTTCGGAAAAGCAATTCGGAAATTCAGGTCAGTCGAGAGGGAGAGAGAGAGAGACTTCAATACAATTTTGATGGATTCGAGTGTATCGTGCCATGGGATGATTCTCCCCTTTTGGCAAGGTGCTCGGCGGATTCCAGGACCACCCACGACAAGTCCAAGCGCTCAATGTGCAATCAGATCGATTAGCAATTGCTTTTGGTGATGTTTACGCGCGTCTCGATTGACATTTTCCACAGTCTGTCGATGGCATCGCCGTGTCAAATATTTACGAGTCTCCCTGGACTTTTCTGGCGACGCTGGTCAAAATTGGCGTTGACCACCTTAAATAGTCGTCTCGCAGTCTCTCCATCAGCTGAAAAATCGCCATTCCATACACACAAGAAGACTGATCAAGTGCGAGATGTGAGTGCGAACTCCCCACAATGAATTATTAATGATGTGCTAATTTGTATGGCGAACTTTGTGTGTGGGTGCGCTTCTTGTTTTCCACCAGAACATGTCTAACTCACTAAGGCTTAGACCTGAAGCTCCATTGTTTGTCTTTCATGCTCAATTGTGTTGATGTTGAGAGTCTCGCCCTCAAAAACAGCTGATTTGTGTGAGCCACGGCAATGTTGTAATTGCGTCGAATATGCTTTGTTAATTAACTCATTCCTCACTCATTCAGGTGCTCTTTTTTGGTGACGAAACACATCTCTGTGTTAAACATCATGAGTCACGGTCAGACGGTGGGATTTCTTTATTTACCCTCTCTTCCCAGGAAGCTCTTTTTCATCATCATCATCATGAAATCCCGCGGGATTTATCATCTTTTGTGCCTCATCTGAGATTTCCCAACAAAGTCACTTTTGTGTATCAGACAAAATGTATAATGCAATTTATACATTTGTGCAGTGCTCGCACAACCAACATTCTCGCGCCGACAATTTGGCCGGCAGTGGAAGCCTCACATATTCACGGTCACCATGACCTTTCCCAAAACCGGACGACACAAAGCTTCTTCCTCTTGGCGCTCTTTTATCTCTTCCACTTCGCTGTCGCACCAATTAAATCCACTTACACGCGGACACACAGGTTTTCCACACTCAGCACAGAGACTCTGCACATTGAAACCCATTGAGATTTTTGCCCAGCTTCGCGTCTCCCTTTTGCCGTTGCTAATAATGCAAGTTTCTGCCAACTGGTTTCCAACTCAGCCACTCTTATATTGGCAAATTCCTCACAGAAAATACGCGCACGCTGACTTTATGGAATTTTTCATACCGCGAGTCATTCTTTTTCATGCTCAACCATTTTGCCTGTGATTTCACGCACTAATCTTTGCGACTTACGACTTGGCACAGCAAATTTCAGCTGTTCACTCTTCTGCAAAGAGAGTCAAAGACATCAAATTGGTTCACGACACTTCAATATATAATCACGCCCCGAGCTCTACTGATGTTGTACATTCACTGTGCGTGATTTCATTTCCTCCCTGTTTCTTTCTCTCTCGCTAAGAAGACAAAAGAAGCGCCCATGTCGGAAAATCAATTATAAACACGCACAATTAGTCTTGATGTCTTGCAGGCACGCTAATAGACAGAAGAAGAAAAAAATTCCATCCAATAGTTGGTCAAGTAAATATTAGCATAGTGCTTTAAATTCCAAAACCTTGGCCTCAATTCCTCCAGCGATGGCGCGCAGAGTTCATTCGTTGATTCAATTTCACTTTCGCCC